AGTTAGTTTATTTTTCTAACTCGTTCACGTATGCATGTACCTGATGGTACATGATTGCACCATACATGCCAGCCATGTCTCCCCATAACTCGCGGTTATGATATACATAGAGTTGCGAATATGCAATAATCGCGTTTGGTTTTAGAGTTGCGAACTCTTATTTTTCGCGTTGCCTTTTCAGGGTAGTGTTGCGCCTTGACACGATACGCGATTGTTTTTTTGCAAACTAGGTACTGAAAATTAGGTACTGAATGTTTGCTTAAAAATAGCGTTGCGAATTATTGATAAACGTGATTGCTCGTAGAGTTGCGAAATACTATTTTTCGCGTTTGCTTTTCAGGGTAGTGTTGCGAACAATCACGATTCGCGTTGCTTTTTTACTCTTTTATATATGTATATAATGGACATCAACCGCGTTTGTAATTTTCATGTTATAAATTAGCGTTGCGATCTTGATTAATCGTGCGATTTTTTATTTAGCGTTGCGATATTTTCAATGCCCAAATTCTACCCCAATTGTAGTACTAGTAGTAGTTAGTTTAGTGGCCAGTACATGTGCATGCACATGTACCAATAGCCCCTGATTAAAGTTAGAGTTGCGAATAATATGCAATGTTCGCGTTTGCTCGTAGAGTTGCGAACAAATATTTATCGCGTTGATATATTAGTGTTGCTCATAAACACGATTCGCGTTTCTTTTATGCAAACTTAGGAATCGGTTATTTGCTTTAAAAATAGCGTTGCGAATTTTTAGTAAACGCGATTGCTCGTAGAGTTGCGAATTACTATTTTTCGCGTTTGCTTTTCAGGGTAGCGTTGCGAATAATTACCATTCGCGGGTTGCTTTTATTCTTACAAGTCGCGTTTGGAATATTTTCTATTATAAATTAGCGTTGCGATTGTTGATTTATCGCGTTGTTGCCCCGTAGTGTTGCGATATTTAAAACGTCTAACTTCATCCCCATATGTGCCACTCTATTGTAGTTTGAAGTAGCTTGATGTAGTTAGTTTCTTTGTACAATTTTATTTATTGTCTGATTTATGTTTCAGGGAAACATCGTGGGATTAATCAAGACACCAAGGAGAAATATTTTTTCATATTTATTTGTTTTATATGAGTTATATATTTTATTGGATATGAGTTTTTGTTTCAGGAAAACATCGTGGGAGTGACGAAGACACCAAGAAGAAAATATCTTGTCGTATTTCTTTGTTTCATGTCGGTTATAATTTATTGTATTGTATCAACATTTTGTTAGGTTTTTGATCTCTTCATCGGTCAGAGTTCGTGCGTGCAGCTGCACATTTCAATTTCGTTTTTAGAAAACATGTGTATCATCTCACATGTATTGACATTTTGTTAGGTTCTTCGTCTCTTGATTGGGCAGTTCTTTTAAGAACTCTCCTTTTCTAGCTCGTTTCTAACTTTTCGATAGCTTCTCCCTTAGATAGGTATTCGAATTTCTCGCCAAAGGAAGGGTGGTTGGGGCGAGGCTAGGGTGGGTCTCCAGTCGCAGCAACCTCCACGTGGTGAGACCCGGGTCATATTATTTACTATGTAATTAATATAATTATTAATTACATAGCAAATAATATGAGCTAATGGCTGCGTTCTTCTTATAGTTCCACGTACCGGGCCGAAAAATTACATTAGGTGAAAGGTCTATTCGTATACCTCGTCTGTGTCAATACCTTCCCCATAATCAACTCGCATGCATTTATGCACACGTTGCAACTGTCTGTCCATCAATATTAATTTAGTGAATAGTTTCTCAATTGACGAGGACGCTAAAATCACCTCCGAATTTTTTGCTCGGTATGACAATTAAAAAATTAAGGAGATACATCCTTCCAAAGTGGAACAAAATGTTAAAATGATCGTGCATAAAATTGTAAGGGGATCCTCGTAAGAAGACTTTAATCTTCGTAATGGTTTTAATGGGTCGATGATCAACGATGACTAGCTTATGGTCATTGGTGGTCAACAGTGACGTTAACATCAAGGTCAGCAGTTCAAGATCCAGAAATGGTCAGGGGTGGGACCAATCGAAATAGTTTCTTTCTAGACAAGACAGTCTTATCTGTTAACTGTAACGTTGGCTCTGACTGGTCTCCCCTCCCTTTCATTACCTTAGATAGATAAGCGGGGTCACTGCGAACAATTCTTCAGTCGCGTCGCGAATTCGGGAGTGTTCAAACGGCCAAAGGAGAACTGGGGACCGCTGATGACCTGTGCTGGCCGCTGCTGACCACTACTGGCCAGCGATGACCATGGCTGACCAATACTGAGCACTACTGACCAGTTGTGACTAGTGCTCCTACCACTACTGACCACTACTGACCACTGCTGACCACTACTGACCAGTGCCGGACGGTGATGACCAACGGTAAGAACTGTTTAAAACTTCTCTCCCCTCTTCTATTCTATCGTTTGATGCCAATTTCGCTTGAATAAACTGATTTTCCGTTGCTTGTCTAACTGACGTTGCTATAATATGAATATTTTCTTACTTTACAGCTTGCCCAGTGGTAACTACCCTATGTACTGACAACAAGTAGTAAGTCCACTCCACTTATTTATATTTTATTATTTTTATTTGTTTGTTTGATGTGAATTCAACTGTATTTATCCATCTGACTGCGATGATATGTATGATATCGCAGGATATAATAATGTAATATTATATTCTTGCTCGAATTCTCGTAATATTCTACGGAGGTACTTTGTTCGATTCTTCCATTTCGTTTGATTGTTTGGTTTTGATTCAACTTGGTGTCTTGATCCAAGTTTCTTTCGTTACAATTACGAATGATCGTTTTGATATATATAACATGCTGTCGATGCATATACCGCAGTTGTTTCGATGACACTGATTAATATAGGATTTTTATTTTTACGTTTCAGCTTAAATTCTTGTAACATTTTACTAATATACTCTGCTCAATTCCCTTTAGCTAGGTGATAGATCATTTTTAAGTGTTTGATGTCTCAGAGACGTGATCTACCGGGCCAAACATGAACAAGGCATCCCAGAAACGTGATAAGTCTACCTGGCCAAACCTTGGTGACGCTTTTGCCACGCACAGTTGGAAATTAAATCTTAAGGCAAAGGGGTAAAACGACTAGTTGTATACGTGCTTTCTTTGGCAAGTGTAGTTAGTACCTTTTACTTAAAGTTGTAATCTTCTTGCACACCGCGATTTTTAAGATGACGAATGTCATAGTAGATTCATTTTTAATTTGACACTCGTTTTAAAATGAATATATAATGAGTACATACGTATACTACGCGTACATCACTTTCTCTCGTCCGCTTGTTCTCTGGTTCTCGCTTTCCGAGATTATGTCTCGACCGAAAGGACCGGAGAGTTTTATGCTCGTTCACCTCTGTTTGATAGAATGAAACATGTGACACCTGTGTATTAGGTGTGATAGCTCTTACCGCTTCAACCCCGGTGCAGCTTGGTTCAGCTTAAGTGGGGCCTCGCCGAGCGCATATATTCTCCTCTTTATACGGAAAAGAGAATGACCTCCGGTGAGAGTTCTTGACCCATATCCGTTCTCGAGTACTAAGCGGGTCCTGTTGTGACCGTGTGTCCTCCAGGGCCCGGCGGTTGTACGTAGAGAGGTCCGATAGACGTGGGTCAGGGGCGCGACTTGCTTTTCTGATAATCAAGGCCGGGGGGGATCAATCTGATACCCACACTCACTGCACGCTATGAGCACGCGTCGCGTTCGCGTTTTATTTAAGCGTGCGATGGTTTACACGCCGCAATTTTTAATATGACAAATATCGTAATATCAATCGAAAGTAGAGTCGTGATTTTAATATCCTTTTATAATACTTATAATTATATTAATTTTAGAATGAGTGTCAAATTAGTAGCTTCCGATGTTCGTTGTTCTTTACATTCTTCAATAATTAAATTCACTTTCATAATTGAGTCGACGACTTTGGGTATCTTCGATATCGAGGATACCCAAAGTCTCTCTTTACTTATTAAAATATATCATTAGAGTGACGTGCAAGAAGATATTTCGCGACGAATACATTTTAGAGTCAAAGTAACCTCGTATATTATGATGTACTATTTTTACTTTCTCACTGCACTTGCCTGTAGTTGTAGTATTTGTAGTTTTACAGCTTCAGTGTTGTTTTCTTACTAATCTATCGAAGAAGTTTCTGTTTCAGAGCACATTCCTATGGAAGTTTTAGGTTTATAGAGGTAACAATTAAGAATTATCACAATTTTGTTTCATATTGCTTGCTTTGTGTTTCAGGAAATCATCGTGGGATAAATAGAAGATAGAAGAAAGAAGAATGTATTTCATGTATTTTGTTTCAAATTGCTTAGTTTATGTTTTAATAATTTAGATTTATAGTTAGGTAAAATGTAACAGTATGTTTCAAGAAATTTTCGTCGAAGGATCAACAAGGAAGAATATATTTTCTATATATTTTGTTAGATGATTAGATAGGTAGGATGTAAATGAATTTAGATTTATAGTTAGGCAAGAGTCTATTTCTCTGTTTTGTTGATGAGAATTTAGAGACAAATTCTTTCTTAAAAATCTCTTTCGTTGGTTGTTTCCTTCTTTGGTTGCACTTTCGTTTATTGCTTTTCGATCGCTGGTCATAAAAATTCTTTATTAATGGAGGGTGGTTGGGAATCGGTTAGGGCGGGTCTCCATTCGCAGCAACCTCCTCGTGGTGAGACCTGGGTAATATTATTTAGGGTTTAATTAATAATCGTATCACTTTTAGCTGGGTAATGCAATTATTAATTAAAAACTAAATGATATTAGCAAATTGGCTGCGATCCGCCTTGCATAGGTCATCATAGATATTGATCTTCTTCACTAGGTTAGTTTTGATTCTCATTGATTCATCAAAGATTCTAGAGTATTGTCACTTAAAAGATTGACATTTGGCCAACAATTAATGATTTCTAGATCCACTGTGCACTGTAGTTAGGGTCGAGAAAAGGGAACGCGTGTCTTAAGGATGCAAAAAATGCACGTTTATTCGGTAAAATAATGTACAAATAAATAGGTGTGTGTCGGGGATGAATACAGTACTCTTCATCAATCGTTCTCATTATTATTTTTCTTCATTTTTCCTTTTTTCTTTTCTTTTACATCGGTGCGCGTACAGTTTCGTTATGCTTAATGGAGTCACACAAGGATCGAGTATCGTTTTCTATTTCCTACACTCTCTCGTTTTCTCGTGGATTCGTTATCGACGTTTTAGAAACGAAACTAGAGTACATACGCGTACAAAATTTGTGAAACCGACGTCGTCCATCGAACACGTACATGAAAGTCGACGAATCGTTGCGTGCCAACGGATTATTACGTTAGCGAAAACTTCGCAAGAAGAGTTCGTACAGCCGTAGATTAAGATTTTTACTCTGCTTACTTACGAGCCAGAACGACCTCTCATGAATCAAAGGGTTGAGAAGAGGAGCGTAATATTTGTTATTTTTTTGTCCTTATTATATTGGAGCTTTAGCCATATATAGCGATAACCATTAATATATGCATATGTAGGTGATTTTTCGACACAGATACCGAGTATAGAGCACACTATTTTCGCTTTAATTCGATAGTGGCGATGACGGTAATAATAACGGTGAATAACGATAATCATAGCAATAGCAACGATAGTAACTAATCGATAATTAATTTGTTAACGTTAACGATAATAATAACGGGCGTAACACTAAGCTGGGGTCCTCGAAACGATAGGAAAAAACTCAACGTGTAGCCAGATCGTACATGATCGATCCGCGAGAACGTTTGCTCGATCGTTTCTAAGAAACAGAGCGGCCTCGCAAAATGCAGTCATTTCCGTCGAGATGCCTCCATTTTCGACCGAAATTCACAATCTGAAAAGCGTCCCGTCGCTGTACGTCGTTTAATTTACCAGTTACACGCTATCGAAAAATAGGCCACACTCCGGTCACCTCTATCCTGATCTATACAGTATAAAAAAGAACGAAATACAGAGGCAAACGTCGCCGTAGGTGTGAAAAATCGTGTTCTTGGTTGATTGCGTGATTAATGATCGCGCGACGGCCATTGCTGTGTAACAACGGTAATCGAAAAATTTGCCGAGAAAAATGCGGGATCGTTTCGTCGTATTTCCGATCCAAACGGAAGTCCTCGGCTTCGAAAGTCTACGGACTCAGGCCATAACACATCATTAATCTTCGTACAAATATATTCAGGCCAGATCGTTAATTTCCCTACAAAGTGGACTTCGAAAGATCTATTCAAAATCATATTAAAAATTAGCTATTAATAAAATTCAGTTCTTCATAGACATTACATCTTCACAATCTTTAGACTAAATAACTAAAAAGCGTATGGCAATAGAAACTTAATTAATAAAACAGACAAAATTTTAAATACCATGCATTTGTGTTAATTTCTTGAAAAGAGGACAATTTTAGTTTCTCAAAATGGTACCACAAGAATCAATTATTTCAATTATGACGAATTCTTATACTGTAAAGGGTTAATACGACGGGTGGAAAACATCCTAATCGAGCTTTCATGATTTCTATTTCGTCGTTAAGGAGAACAACTTGTGTCTTTCGAGGTTGCTTTTAATTTATAAATAAAATTTACCAATGAGAATAGTTCTTTGGAAGTCGACTTGTATATTAGTCTCGTCTGAATCGAAGAAAGAAATGTTCTCGCTAGGGTAAGAAAAGAAACTCGTGGAGAGACGGGAGAAGTACTTGTATGTATGTACATATACATATATATATCGTATGAGGAGAAAAACCAGGGACGATTTCCACTCGTGTTATATCATATATAAAGTATAATAATACAACTACCGAAATATTTATATATGAATACATATATATCATATGTATACGTAATTCCAGTGTATCATTTAATCAGCCTCTTAATCGTCGGCCAGAAAACCGACGTCCAGACGAAAATGCGAGCAATCGGTTATCGCGTGTATACAACGGGTGTGATTAATCGTATCGGTGAGTCTCGTTCGGTTTGATATTGCAACTACACACGAGCATCACCGAAATGCGTGTTCGTATCAAGCGTTCGCGTCGATCGCCGTGGATCGACGCCCGGTTTTGGCCGATATAATCTCCCCTCGCATCCTTAAGTGATAGCTTTAGTCGCTTAAATCGTAACTCCTACAACTCGCCTTACGTTCCTACGTGTTCTATCACAATAATCGTCTTCCCTTTCCTCTCTAGAAACGAAAGAAGGAGAAACGCAATCGGTATCGCGCCGTGCGAAACGAAATCCGTTCGAGCGGAAGCGTTGCATCGACGCCATTTCGGTCCACGAAACGTACGCTGTGTCCTTTATCGATCCCGGAAGTTAAGAATGCGTCGATTCGATAGGCTTTCCAGCGCTTGAGCATACGACGTGCCGATCTTTCGTTCGATTCGGGTATTTGAAGAAATTCTGGTCGCATCGCGATTAGGGGGCCCACGAAACTAACGATTTCTCGTTGAATAATTCTAGAGACGATATCATTTTCATTAACGTGATAAATTAAAATTTAATTGAACAACTTAAATCGTTAGATTCGGGACCCCTGCTAGTTCGATTACGTTTGTAAAATGATACGAAGCCTTTTCAGACGATTTCACGGGGGTCAGAGTTTCTTCGTTCTGTTAACGACTATCCTTAAAAATAACAACGTTATTTTTGAGCTTCCGATGTGTGTGGCATCTTCGACGAGAAATAACTCTTAAATAATTAATAATATGACGTTCCCTCTACCTAGCAATGAACATTGCCCGATCTCCAATTTTTATAAAATCGAACGCATAAATAAAACACTGGATAGTATCACTTACTGAAATTTCTAAAATAAATAATATACTTTGAACAATAATGAAGGTAATTTTTATTATGATTTATTATAGATAAATTTAATTAAAATTATTGTATCACTAACAAGTTTATTATTTGAGTAGCATTATTCAAAATTTACTATTTATTTTAGTCTTTTATTTGCTGATATTCACTGTGGAGGGATGAAAACTATCCTCGAAGTTATGTTTAATTAATACCGGGGTATATTTTAGTCAAAACAATTTTGCACATGAAATTTTCCATTTTTTGGAAATGTAGACAATAAAGGATTTTTAATAGCAACGAAAAATTAACTTCGAGGAAGCAGTCCTGTGTGTTGGAATATGTTACAAAATTAAGAAAAAAAACGTCACATTTTGTTCTTGAATTCGATTTTGTCTCACGCTCGTTTTTATTTTTATATTCAATTTTTCTAAGTCCAAATCTTTATGTTGGTTTTCATCGAGCGATGTTCTTTGTTGGTCCGATTCGTTGATAAACGCGCAGTGAAGTCCTCGTATCACTAAAGAAACACGACGCATCTTTTGGCACACGGTTTCGCGCAATACGAGTGGTCGCCTTATATTAGAGATGTTCGATTCTTTTTAATGAATCGATCAAAAATTTTTGTTCTAATTTACACATTAGAAGCTTCATAGCTCCATCAACAAATTGGTATTCTCGATTTTCGTCTTATTTTGGCCTCCAGAACACCCTATATAATTTTGGAATAGATTCTTTAACAGAAACACTAATAAAAGAATTTTTTTATATCAAACATATAAATTAGTCAAATGTAATTTTAAATGCATTAAATTTTCAGGATTCATTTGAGAAAGAAATCAATTTAATGACAGAAAGAGTCGAGTTTTGCCAAGAATCGAATCAGAATCGAACGTCTCTATCTCGTATTATTCCACGTGCATCGCGAATGCAACACAAACCGCGTAGAGAGCATTTAGGTCGATGACAGATACAATTCTTCCTTCGATTCCTCAACATCGAATCGTTTACGCTTTGCGCCGCTTCGCACGTACGTTCTTCCTTTCACCATGATTGCTACGGGTGCATGAACAATCGTCACAAAGTGTACTATACACGAGTATGTATACTAGACCGTTACAATTAATGTAAATATATTGTCGGATATATCAGAACTCGGTGTTCTCTGCAGCAACACGTTTGCGGTTTGGAATGCCATTTTGTACGCGATTACACGGAAGATTAAATGCAGACTAAATTCCATACGTCGAATGGAATCAATTAGAGTTAAATACAATCGTTACTTCTCGGTGTCATAATCTTTTTGGAGTAGTAGGGTTCCAAATTTTCCCAAAACAGCGTACCAACATGCTCGAAATTTATAGATTCGTATATTCGTTAATTTACCGAGAATTAGCTTGTTTTAATATAATTTTCATTGATTTAATTATTCACTCGTTGTTCATAAATTGATGAACAATTACGATAAATGCTTGAGAAATGTTAATAAATAAATTATATTTACTACGCTACATATTGTGGTACAAAACAAGAAAGTCACGAAAATCCAAGTATAGCGTGGAACAATTATGTTATACAAAATATATCAGTATATTAATAGAAATGGTTGTCCATATTTTTATCACGCGAACATTTCTCTTTCAACCTTCTGTTCCAGAGTTGTGGAGCATCTTAAATTTCGCATTAGCATAATGTTTGGTTTTTGGTCAATTTTTGCGTCACGATGGAGAAATATTTTTTGATCCGGTCAAACGTGAACGTTTGCTCATCTTTGAATAAGAAACATGCAACTTAGGCCACTGCTACAATAACTGACACATATATTTCTTGGATTTTTAATTATGTAAATCAGTTTTGTGAACAATCGAATTCATCGTTAAGAAAAGAATTTGGTAAAGAATGGTCTTCCTTGGCTAAAAATGGATGTATGCAATGGCGACGGTAGGATCTATCGCGAACCACAAACGTTTTACTTCAGTACCACAAGACAATCTCGGGACAACGGTGGTTCTGATGATCGTTTTCTCATTCGACGTTTCGTCTAGCTACGTATTTACAGGACTAGAGTCTTATTTAAAATCTCGTACACCTGCTCGAGCGCCGTTCAAACTCTGTCGCGATGGAGGCTCGAGTAAAGAACCACTAAAAAGTTGCACGATGAACCGGGGTTAAATAGAAACTATCCGATGAGAGTCGTGAAAGCTGTTGGGTTATCGTGGCCACTGAGCAGGCAGGTGAATTCTGAGCATATTACATGTTACCTTACGTTCTAGTACCTTAACGACTATGTGTAATTAACGCCCACGATAATCATACAATTTAATAAGCTCGTCGAACGAGTTCCATCCCATATCTCGATCGAGCATCGTCCCATGGAGCACCATCGAATCGTTTTACAATGAATCCTAATAGTCTTTTTTTCTCGATTAATTCCACTAACGCGTTTTACCAATTATCGTGGGCCGGATCTAATCAGACCGTGGGATTTGTCAACTCGTCTAAAACGACAAACATAAAGGAACAAAATCGTTTTGTTTTTTCCCTCGAGAAATACCACTATCCGTATCGAAGTCCGTATCTGTCTATTTGTTATCGGAGCGACCCTTCTGAGCGGGCTTCTGAGCATTGTTCGCTTTCCGCGCCATCTTGTTTTTTTAATATATATCCCCTAAGAATGAGTTTCGTTCGCGTAATTGAACTATTCTTACAAGTTAGAACGTTATTGTACCGATTTCCATAGATGAAATTCATTTCACGTCGCCGTACGATTACGCTAGTCTACGAAAATTATGGGGTGCGCTGTTGTAAAGTCGATCTTTCACGTCGATAGTCCGGAGCAGTAACAATGGAATGAGATTTATAAATGTATACGGTAATCAAATTCGATCGATGTTTCCGTGAATGCACAGACATGGTTCGTTTTTTTTCTTCGAAATACTCCGTTAGCTTTTTGATAGCTTCTCGTTACTTTACGGTTGGAAAGTAAGTGCACCGCCATTGTGATGGCCAACGTTTCTGCTCGCAAACGAAGAATGCAACAACTCGTTTAAACGATTCCCCAGAGTACATTGATTGTCGTATCTAAGATTCTGGTATGGAATGTTGAATGCATTGAGAAGTGTTTGATATCCATCGCCTCACGGTAACGATAATTCGGTTGTGCCTTCTTTAAAAAACCGCTTAAACTGAACTGGAGGTGAAGTTTGCTTCAATGTCCGCCAAGACACTCGACGAATGGTCTTGGGCCTTACGATGAACGAATTATAATTCAATACTTGTCTGGTAGATGGATTGTCAGCGAATGATACCCGTACGTTTATTCGAATTGTATCAGTTCTCGCGTAAAGGTTTAGCAACGATGACCAATATGTACGCCAAATAATACTGTCTTCCTAAAGTACGATGGTAAATTGACACTTCTTATTCACAATCGTTCCCGTTCGAAGAAGGTATTCCGTGTCCGTCGATCGTCGATGAAAAAAAAAACCGTTTTCTCTTGCCCGATTGGAATTACCGCCGCGAAATTCAACGAGGAAAGCGAGGGATATTCGAAGCGTTCGTTGCAAAACATTGCGTGTTAATGTTAACTAACAGCAGAGCCGCACAAAACTAGTACGTTCTTTACATCAGGTCGATTTCACAAGTCTGCGAACTGTATAAATATTTATCACCCACGTATCATCGTGGCCATCTTTCTACACAACTTTTCTCTATAATTAAGAGGGTATTCCCATTTGGGGACGTTGAAGAATTATTATATAATTATCATCTGTTCATATCAATTACAGTTTGTGTGCAAAAGCTTATTGTAAATGTAAATAACGTTAATGTTAATTCATAGCTTCACTACATGGAATGATTTGATAAAAGCCGTCGATTTTAATGTCAATATCCGCTATCATACTACAAATAAAAATATATAAAAATTATGTACAATAAGTCTCTGCACACAGAATCTAATTAATTTGAACAGATAAATGCTTTAATTGCTCATTACTGTTGACCCGCAATAATACTTATCGAATGATTTTAATAATATTCACAGATATAGAGACTAACATGAATTTTCCTTTTATTTTTCACCCTATATTGCATGAATTTTATTTTCTCCCAAACAAAATGACTCGTGAAACGACCTGATGCTTGCAAGCAACGCAATCGGTGAACGCAAATTATGCTTTGTACATTGTCTCGGGACACTACGACTCTGATAATAACGTCGAATCAATCCGAATTCGCCTAATTTGTCTGCCTCGAGACCGGGTTGGATCTCCGCGGGTCGCAGCTAACGGAGTCGCTGATGACAAAGACGTAACTAGCAATTAAAAGATATCTTTTATCCGCGTACGTTCACAAGAGACCAAGAGGAGCGTTTATTTCGCTCCCTCGCGTGGCAGGATCGTATATCTTAGTTTACACGGAATCGAATCGCGCAAGATTTCGCTAGCTACTGTACAGAGCTGGAAATACGATGTGTGGAGCAAAGGGGAGCATAGTAAACTATCACTCCTTCCGCTTATCATCTTTTCAGCTCCATATGGTACTCTTAACTGGGAGACACGGGCGCTACAATTATTCCACACGAAGACAACAAAGGCGTTCGAAGTTCTTGGATGTGTCGCAATCGAAACAGCGGTACAGTAGTGTGCTTCAGGTTGCAACAAATTTTGTTCCTCGGGTTGCTGTAAAGCTATCGCTGCGAGTTATCGATTAGTTACAGAAGTAGAAAAGTTCATATTTGAATTAGGATACAGTAGAACCTGCTTTATAGGTATTACATAGGAACAATAGTATCGAAGCAGACACTAGATATACAATATAGTATATAAAGTCTGTTATTTTAGTGTTAATTACTATGTAGTCTTTACTGACGTCAGTATCTTTCATTTAACCCTTTATTATCATATGTAAACAATTTGGATAACACTCCAATAAAATAAATAAATAAATAAATATATACACATAGCTGGGATAACATGTTACAAATAATAAAACAGTGAAATCAAGATTTTTTGATTAAATTTTGTTCACATACTATATTGGATAATTTACTTGAAATTGTTTGAAAATTGCCCTATTTTATACGAATAACGGAGGCTCTGCTGTATCACAGTAAGGCTGCTTCAATTCATGAAGCTCTTAAAAGATGTTCAAATGATTTTGAGCTAGAAAATAATCGGACATTTCGACAAAAACAAACAAGCGTTGAATATTTCTCTATGAACTACTTCGTACAAAAAAGTCGTCGAAAAAGTCAATTGCACAGTGGAAGTACCAAAGGATTTAAGTGCCAAATAAGAATTTTTTTACGGGGGCGTATTTTACTTAAGTTATTGCTACAGGAAGAACAAAAGAATGTTCAAGAAAAGAACAATTGTTAAGTAATTTTGTCCTTTTCTAGAGTTATTGGCACTGACATGTATGATCTAATTACGGAACAATCCTAATCTGTCTAATTTTGGTACTTTGTTCCATTTGGTACTCTCCCCCTACAATCGTTATTTCAGAACTCACTCTCGCGAGTAAAATTATGTAAAGAGTATTTAACGCTTTACCTATCAGTCACGGAACACGTATTCCATATTTTGAGTTGTGTCAGTTGTTCGCAAGTTCGTGAGAGAGAATTGTGCTTTCTCAGAACCAATTCATTTCTCGTGAATAAGAAAATATAAAATATGGCAACAATTATCGAGGTGTATTCATTATTTCTGGCTGAAGTATATTACAAACGACCACGATCGTTCGATAATCAAATGTTAACATTTTGTCAACGAAATAGTAGTACCATTTTACTTTTCTTTTCTGCCTAATTCGGACCCTCATAACATATCCCGTACGATATTCTCATTAGATATGTTTATTTACGTGTAAAATAAATTCTTTCTCTATACAATTTAAAGCAATAGCAGCAGCTTCAATAGAAAACACAATTTTCATGTTTCTACAAATATTATAACCTTTCCTTTTTATTAAATAGTATAGGGAAAATGTCTTGCATAAGTACACAAAAGCTTAACGAGTAAAATGGAATTTGTGTATCATATCATTTGCCTCGAAACTAGTTACAAAATCTTGCAGGCAATATACTCGTCATATTAAGACTTGTTTCTTCAAAATAAATTTCATACATTCTTTGTAAGTCTCTAGAAGCATATGTACGTTTCTACGTACATATGGTTAAAACATAAACGTGTCAGCAATAGCTAGAATTACTACTTTAAAATCGCTCGGGAGCCAGATTTTAGTGGAAATGCAAACACCAGTCGGCCATTGGTGGCGTTTTCAGAACTCTTTTTTCGGGAACCTCACCATACAATTATTCCAAACACGCCAAAATAACAGTGCCCCGATATTTCCAATCTTCTAAACGGCCCCCACCCACGTTACAATGTTCGTTCAGGCCTTAGCCTTCGTTTTTGGTCGACTGACAACCCGAGGAACATTACTGTACCTTTGAACGAATTACAAAACATTCCGTTACCTGGTGTGCGAACGCTTAGGGCAAGATGCATCCAAACGAGAGTCCCGCGCGTTAAGGTACTTTCGGTTCCATCTTCGTCCGTGGCGCTTATGCACGATGACAGAATAAAAGTATTATAATACGGGCGAAGGCAATTGCAGCTCGACGAATTGTCCTCTGATTCGAGTCGATGATCGAATCTTTGCCGATAGCTTGAATCGAATCGATCCGGGTAGGCCTGCTGTCCGCTCCGTTTTGGATTTCGATATCACCGAATCCCGCTATGCACCGAACGTGGGCGCTACTTCAGGCTGAAAAGGTCGCGATACATGATGGCCGTCGTCTCGAAACTCGAGGACCGATTGCTCGGCGAGGGTTCCATAATTTCTCGGTCCTTTCGTCGCGCAATCGATCTCTGCCCTTTCGCCTTTCCCTTCGTCGTCTCGTTTCTCGCGGGTTCCTATATAGAGGGTGGTTCCTTGTCGCAGCGGTGCACAAAGCCGTGCTGCTGTTGAGGTCATCCACTCGTGTGCTCGGGGAGCAGTATGCTGACCGATTTGCGATTAGCCGAACCGTTGGTGACGTTGCTAGGATTGGTGGTCGTCGCCAGGGCGGACGGCGGTCGATGCAGCGGCGCCACCACCCGCACTTCCGGCCTCGGCGATGCCTCCCTTAGCGGGCTACCTACGTTCACAAGGTCCTCCGCATTCGTCAGCGCCGACGGTCTGAAATCCAAAACGTTTGGCGGTGATATTTCCGCTTACGCATAATTTGTTTCGATTGTTCTTAACACGTTGCCAACCAGGGATGGGAATATTCGAATTATTGAAATACTGTTCGAAGCAAAAGTAACCATATGCATAGAAGAAATGGCCATCGCTCGTACGACCCCCAAATTTTTAAATAATTGCAACTAAAACATTGTCTGAAACATTGGGAACCATCGCGTAAACTAACAAATTTGTTAAAAATGTCGGCTTGGCGTCGCGTAGCCTGACAGCCACAGATATACTCGAAGGTCGGATTTATTGGGGTTGAGTTCACCGCGCATTATCTTCCGCCATTATTGCGTAATGTAAGAGAATATATACTGTAGTATCGTTCTGCCACGCGGAGTATTATTCCAGCGAATCGAATGCCACTAGTTAGTATTCAACGCAATAATCGCGCCCGTTAACGATAACTCAAAACATTTCGCGGTAGTGTTACGTGGCGACGCGGTCTCTGTTATCAGCGGCGTGCGTTCCTCGTAACGAAAGTAATTGCACGTATTAACGCGCGTTGTCTACGTGCTGATTGTGTCCACCTGACCAGGTAGACGCCGTGGATTTCGCAACAGTAAACAGCAGGGCGCAACGCCCAGGAATTCACGTGCTAAAGATCTGTGCAAGAAGCACGCATTGGTCGAACTGCATATGCAACTTGCACTCTGGATGCAATATATTCTTTTACATGCATTGCATTTTGGGACGGCAAAAAATGACAGAAATTTGTATCGATATAGAGGGTGTTCGACCACCCCTAGACAAAAATTTAATGGTAGATTCTAGACGCCAAAATAAGAAGATGGAGAACATTAATTTCTTGATCGACGCTTCGTGAAAAAGTTATTAAAATTTCGAAACCCGTGTCTCGAATTTGAATAGTTGCTCGACGCAACAGAATGCAACAAATGGAGAAAAATTACCCACGTGTGTTGCGGGGGTGGCGTGGGCGTTCTTGATAGGGGAAAACTGGCGACTTCTCTCGTTACCGACAGCGAACGAATCGATCCGAATGTTTGGTCCGGCGATAAATTAGCGCCAACACTCTGCACCATCCCGCTACTGAAACAGAAGGATGCATCGACATCAATAAAATTTGATGACATTGCATGTTGCATGCGATACCGCTCGCATGGTATCGATTAGAATCATTTTTACCGAGCATCTGTTAGATTACAGATCAATTGCTGGAAGCACACATCTTGTAACTTCGTTTTTGGTGAAATTTTTATGTGCTTCGTTCAAAATTTACCCCGCCACTTTCCATTTTTTCGAATTTATGTATATACATACGCACACGTGAACGATTCGACGTAAAAAATGAATCTACATAATTCATACGTTTTGAGAAGCAGACGTAATTGATAATAAATCGTTTCACGTACCATTGGCGTCATCCGTTCGAATTGCGTGACGAGGAAATAGATTTCGAGGATACAAACAATTTAATTAGATGCCACGGTTTTTGCATCCACTAAAAAAACACGTGCAACGCGTATCGAGGAATGAAACATGCATGTTCGGAATGCACGAATAATAATGCATTTTAAATTGATTACTTGGGTTCGTTGGTATCTAGTTTGAGCTATCTGTTCAAATCCGTCTGAAACAGTCGTTCGGTTTAGTCTCGAAAAGTAATGCGAGGTTCGGATCGATACCCCTCCCATGGCAAATAGGAACCTCTATAGCGGTTCCTGTCTGGCGAGATGGAAGGGAACATACTTGGACGAAGTGGGTAGTTATCGATATATAGCGGCAAAATCGAGCATTTCGAGATCCCCGTGCTATGAATTATTCAATGCTCGGTGGCGCGGGCAGGATGTCGAAGTTGTGGCTGACAAACCGACTTCGACTTCGTCGTTAATGCATTTTCTCCCGGTCGAATCGGCCAAGTTCCCGCGCGGAAAAGTTACCGCGGACTTGTTAAACCGATGCGTCGACCAGCTAACGACGTATCGATGGGGGATCGTTAACGGAAACTTTTAATTGCGAACGAATTGCCTTCCTCGCGATAAACGTGCTCGTGATCAACGAAACTTGGCTTCCGACGAATCGTCGAAGCGAAGTCTTCTTTGAGAATTACAGCAAGTCTTGGATAACTGCGTGAAACTAAAATGCTATTTTACTAAAGCTTCGTATCATTGAGCAGTGTAATACAAGCAAGCGAGTTCATTGCATGAAAAGACGACGAGTATAGTCACGATTAGTAACCTTAAACAAAGAATAACGACGGTCCCTTTTACGCAGCTATGTCTGTTCTGCTGCTGAATATAGCTCCGTATTAAGTATGAATGACACAGGAGGCGTATTTTTAGTAGTAATGACCTTTGGGGCTCGGTATGCTGACTCGCGTTTACAGTAGAAACAAATGAAACCGAGATTTCTTGTCAGGCAGAAACATTTTCATCGAGAACAAAGAAAGTTGGAAAATGTTGGAAAAGTTTATTAGTTTAACCCTATGTATGAGGGTTTCTAGGAAAAATCTGAGACTGTTGAGCAGTTTTGTGGATGATTGTAAAAAAGATCTCTTACCTGACTGAACCTGAGGTAACTAGGAATGGCATAGGCGTTGGGCATGGGCTCAGGGGCGAACTGCTCACGGAACTTCGAGTGCTGCTTAACACAGAGTGTGGACATTGCGGTGGACCGTTATGTCCACCGCCGGATGCGTTTCCACCTTTACCCGAGGAACGTCCCTTCAGGCAGGGTATTTTGGACCAACCGCTAACATCCTTGCCTGACATTCCTGCGAACAAACACGTTGATTAGTCGTGACTATTACGGCCATTAGCATTAGAATAAAATAACTTCGTTGACGAAGTGCCTCCCCCTACCTAGACATTCGTACACTGTTCATTGTATGTAAAATTGCAATCATTTTGTATGGGTAAATCCTACGCACTTTTGAGAAAAAAATTCCCCCAAAAAGTCCAAAATAAAAAAATACATGTTTCGACATTTTTTGGTGTTCTAGGAATCCCTTCTTGTGAGGTACTAAATTTTATCCTTATCAATTTGAGAATATCGAACGAGTTATGGGATGACTTACTTATTGCAATTATAGTTTTGCAGATTGTAAAGCGTTTTCGAACGTAAAACGGGGTGCTGGTGTATCGAAAATATAAATCTGCATCGGAGTATTTTGTAAATGACCGCCTAGGCACGTACTAGTCGCGCACTTTGTGCAATTTATACGCCATTTATACATTATTCATCGAAAGTATCGCGCGGCGCTTGTTAATCTTGCGGCACCGTTCTCTGTTGCGCGGAGTGCTTGCTAATAAAATCCCGCTGGTAAATTAAAATTTCTTTAACGTCGGAAGCGGAAGCTTGGAATACGACCGAGCGACCTTGACCATAGAAGATTTTGTCGTAGCGTACGAACCGTTGGGTCATCGTGGCGAACGATACCAAAAATAGTATGCGTTCCACTTTGCCTCGATAGCAAAAGTCGAATATTACACTTTTCATTTGAATAAAATTGGTAGTCTCATAATAGTTATACTTATAACTATATATTACAGTATTTCAAGTACCTAAAACTCTGTTTATTCAATATTTTAAGTAAATTTTTATGTTTTAAACACAACAGAAATTTATTTATTAATCTTAAAAGCATAACGAAATGTAGAATTGCATAAATATATAATAATTTTAGGTTAAGTAAACTGTAGCGCCATCTGTCGAGGTCTAATGTAAAACGACAACATGGCGGCTGATCTGAAAATTGAAAATCGTGATTGCAATTAAAAAAAAGACAATTTAGGACGACGGTGACTGAGTAGGTGGCAATAGATTATGTTTGTAATTTAAATCGGTGTCAATAATTAGAGGGATGTCATGATTAGGCTAGTTTACCCTACTATAATTGCAATGCAGGTGTGAATTTAAATTTAATTGGTCGACGATTTGAAGGTAGAAATAAAATCTCTAGAAAAAGTCAGAAACTAAATGCATTGGTTCCAAACACAATTTGTCCGATTGTGTGACGCAAAAAGTGAACGTTCGTGTGCATAATGTTTGCACGTTAGTATTCTTTATACTCACGGAAGTGGGTCAGGTTTGTTTTTAACGCATAAGTAGCCAAATGATGCATTCCTTTTTGTTAAGATCGAAAAAATTGTCTTTACCGAGTGTCAATTTTCCGGACGATGATGTAACGTTCAATTACGTTCGTCCACCGTTCCATTTCGTTGTTAGCAACGTTCGGTTACATAAGGGATGGTGATTTAACATCCTTTATTCGATTTAATATTCCGCGGAACACTTTCGTAACAGGAAACCTCACGTTCGGAAGAAAACATGGATTTCAGAATTTTATTTAATCCTCGGATTATATTATACTCTTTCGTCAAAGCCGAACAATACAACAGCCAACATTACAAACTAAAATATATTTAAGAAAATAGTAACTACAAGCGAAAAATTGAATTTTCCAACCAATTCATTAAAAAAAGGAGATTTCTAAAATTTGACATTAAAAATGTCAAACTTTCAACCCTGAGTATCTTTCCATAAAATCAATTTGAAGCTTTTGGCCGAGGACCACTGTCCTAAATCATTGCTTCCGACAAAATTCATGTCCACGTTCGCTCGTCCCTGTAGCCATTCGCGAATCGTTCAAAAACAAATTCTTTTCGTATCGATCCGCCGATAAAAGGAAGTTATATTGAGATGGCAGGATGTTCAGAGAGGAAGAGCACCGGGCAGACCGTTACATCTCAGTTTTGTTTGTATCGAAGAAATCCTCGTTCCAGGATTTCATCGGGTCTGCCTCCAGCGGTTTTCCAATACGCGCAACACATTCATCGTATTTCTCTGGCCCTTATTGTATACGGCCAATCCGTCTCGATGGTACGAGATATCGACTAATTCTCCAAACGGTCCTTTGTTCCGTGTTCATCCTTTTTTCTCGTCGATCCATGAACGTTTGGGCGAACCACGTCGAATGGGGCATGATAGAAATTCTCTTGGAAAGAATAGAATTTTTTGTAAACATTTATTTCTTCCTACTCAATCACGAATAAAAATATTATCATTTAAAAACGAAGAAAATTTAATTTGGGTGGCCCTGACGGGTGGAACTTTTATTTTCATGAATTAAGTCACTGTCGAATGGTATTTGACCATATTAGCTATCATTAAAACACAGAAAATAGTTTCGTTGCTGTTTGTATGTCCTTCGAACTCAAGATTTTTATTTTCTAATAAAATATACGACTATTCGAAGTGTCTCAATATTTTTCTCCGTTCCTTCCCTTGTTAGATTGTTACGAGAGAATTTTTTCTATTTGATCGTAATCCTTAGATATTACCTTGAACCCCCAGGCAAGCACAGATCGCGAAAGATGATAATACCCAACGGAAGAGAGTAAAGCCTCTTTTTCCTGTAAGTCCGTGGTATATAGTTCTTTATCGGCGTAATTATGTTTTTTAAACGCCCGTGATTCCAGAGGCAGCGCCGTCTACTTTATCGTCATCGTTTTAAGAACCAGCTGTAGCTAAAGTAATTAAAAATTTCATCCGAGACCGTAACCACACACTGTACTTCACAAATTGTTGCCAGCTATCCAATTTATATGGTCTAATTAGTTTCAATTGTAGAAAAAAGTTAACGCTCGAGGAATCACTGTCCCCCAGACGGGCGTCGGAGATACTTTCCTTATTTAAAATTACAATTAAAAAACAATTCACGTTTAAACATTGTAAATACTACAGATACATATCTCTGTTCTTAAAATATCTTTGTTACTTAAAAAAAATTCCAAAGTAGTGGTATTTCTTTAAGAAATCCAGTCTTTTTGAGGGCTTCATTAGATTTGTTGTAATTTCCATAATCTTTCTTGAAACATAGAGCTAAAATTATGGATTCAAAGTGAATCACAATAAAGTACCCTTCTTTGACGAAAATATCCCTTTAAAGGAGTTCTGTAGCAATTTTAAGCTGTTTCTATACACTGTTCGTACAATGCAACGCCACTTTCTTCGGTATAGTGAATTGTGTCGAGCATTTGCTTGCGAATAAGATGGCCGTAAGGAAATGCTCGAGGTATAATCTGCGCAGTAGCATAGCGTTTCGCGGAAATGCACAATGAGCGACGTTAATAAGAGTAATCTGCGTCGTCGTCATTGTTCTCGTGCTATCGAGGAAGCATAGGGCGCCAGATAGCGTGGAAAGGATCGAAGAGCTAGGAAAACCGTGGATCCCGACGAATGGCGAAGGGATATCGTAAGATCGAGGGCAACAGATGTCATGGACCCCAATGGCGGCGGTGCACGTCCTAGTTTACCAGGCACGTAGGTACAGTCAGAGCTCAACTTAAATGAATTCGACGGTGCAACGGTGTTGTTCATAGAGACGCCATTCTCTCGCGCGGGTCCCGTTCAATGATTTATCATTTCCAACTGACTCTATTCACTTTTCCATTTCATACAATTTTCTTTCTTGCTGCTTTGCATTGCATTGGCAACGAGGTTATTAGCGACGAGTTCGTGTCGAGACAAAGGAAGTTGTAATTGGTAGCACTGGATCCTCTCAAACATAACCACTCTTAGAAACGATCGTTACACTATTTTGTCTATTCGAAACGAAAAAAAATAAGTTTGACTGAAAAAGGTCGAAAATGAAAAAAATGGCGTTTCGTGGAGATTCGTTGACTGGAATTGTATGTGTGTCAACGAGGATACGAAATCAGGGATTATTAATCTGATCTTGACCCGAAAACGAGCACCGCGGAAAAACGAGAGCGAGCGCGAAACGATGCTTAAGCAGCTGCATTATTGATCGACGGATTCTAACATGATGACAGAACGCGAATGACGAGGCTTTTGGGCGTATCAGCGAGGATTCGTTAATCCTTTCGCCGCAGCGGGACATCGTTGAAATGCATTTGGTCCCTGCGGAACACGTTCGACCGTGCGCCTTTGTAAAACTGCAATGTTGGCACATCGCGTCATGCATCTACCCCATCCACGAATCACGGTAATTTGATGCAAAAAATTGTTGGCACGAACGGCACCCAAACACACTATTACAAGAAATAATAGCCCCACCGCGACCAATGTAAACAACAAATTTGCAATAACCGTACTTGGTGCATGCAACTCGATGCACCTTTGAAAATAATCACAGAATTTAGAAAACAATTGTAATGGAAGGGATAATAATAGGAAACAAGTTAAATTAGTAAGCATTTTACTATATTTGCAAAATCCTTCAAACCCCAATATAATTAAGTTATCAGGAAGAATATCCCAATTCTTCTACGGGGGCAGAAACAGATTCCAATATCGAGTTTAATATCGAGGATGAGGAAACTATTACTCGAGGTAATGCTCTAGAAGAAGCAATGGAAAAATCGATCCATAAATTTCTTGAAAGGTCTGAAAAAGTAATAAATTCGAAAACTCTGTAAGCCGAATTTTCCGTATTAAAAACGACCAATAAAAGAACAAAAGCAATTAAGATAAAAATGTATAGTTTATGTTTTGTACGGATTTTAGTTATTTTCTGTAGAGTTCATTTCAGTTTTATATTTTTGCACTTAAAATAAGTGTTTTTAAAATTCAAAAACCAGTTTTATCCATCTGTCATGTACAAACGTTAGCTAAAACCGAATTTCATTACGTAATTCACTACGCTTCTGTTTCAATAATATTCAAATCTCAGATTATCCTGTAATAGTGACATTTTGGTGAAAATGTCATAACCAGTCCCAGCCACCCCTACGTTTGACTAATAATTTCGATATATATTAGGATGCTGGTATCATAGGATTTTAATACACAATCGTGGAGCATCATACTAATATAAACTAAATAATAAAATGAATATTGTCCTATGATTTTTTTTTCATTTTGGTTGTAAGAGTTGAGGGTTCCTGTTAGTAACAATTTGTCGTTAGAATCGTGATTCGTGAGCCTATTAGACAAGTGGGAATACCTCGAAGGGTGATTGAATTTTCAAGATTCAGCCGATCCTCGAGACGATCAAGATTTGCATGCATCACGCATCGTCGACGCGAAATAAACGCGATTCGTAAATCCGGATAATCACGTTCTTGCACGATAAGGCTGAACGAAGTCCTGATAAGAGTCTTTGGAACAAGATTCAGCGATATTTACGAGCCACGAATACCCGTAGATATTATTCCCCAATACGGGGATGCAGGATCTTGTTAACGCCACCCCACAACGAGATATTACTTCGCGGAAACAAGGTGTAACGTAACTGTTAATTAAATCTTTCGGAGAAGTGAGTAATAAGAGGTTGAATGAACAATGAAGATGCCTTTCTACCCAGGTAACCAACCGACTCGATTAAAAAATATTAAACATCGAACGTGTAATGGAGACAATCGGTCAGTTATGCAACTATCGATGAATCACGGTATTGAGATCTTACGTAGGAAGGTTGAAGTCGTACGGGGTGTCTCAGTTTCATAAACTCGGAGTTAACCGGTATTACTAGTAGGTACATGAGTCTCGGATGCAAGAAGGAAATCTTAATATTAAATTTTATTTTAGTATTTTGTAGGATTCCATCGTCGTAGAGTCTTGCAAAGGTTTTATCGAAATGATCCTCCGGAGGAGACGAAAATGTCACTGTACTCTGAAACTGTTTCTTCGAATGAGCGATCCACGTCGCGGGGGAGGAAGAACACTCTGAAAAATGAGAAAGAAAAAAGGCAGGCTCGTGTTGCATCGAAGGATAGAACCTTTAGAAGGCTTTCGTTCTCGGGGTACGCCATCTTTTACTGTCTACGTTTCGAGATGAATGCAACGACCAAAGAAACGTCGTTTGATCTGAGAATCCATTCGAGCTGAAATTAAACAGTGCAAGTGAACCTGTGCACGATTATGGACTCGCCTTGACTGTAAAGAGAGTCTCACATATTCTACAACCGTGTGTTATTAAACGTGCGATTGAATTCAATCCTAGAACGAACACGGGGAACTAGTCGATTCGGTTATTTGAGAAATCTCTCAAGGATGTTGCTTATACAACACGTAGCGCCATTTTCTAGGTTTTTAAGTCGCGCTTAGAATAACGAACTGAATGTATTTGAACCTATTTTATTATTCTGTATAGTTGGTGAATTATTCTATTTATCCTGAGCAAAATCTGTTTAAAATTTTTGAAGACAACTCTTGTATCCTAGGGGCACGTGCATATACGTCCAAGGAATCTAGTATTGATCGAAGTATACAGTGGTTCAAAGTAAAACTCGGGCGCTGACATTTTCGCGCTTTATGAAACGATTGGTAGTGTGAGAGGAACGTTTAAACAAAGAATAAAGCTATTTTTAGTAGGCTTGATTGAAGATTTTTTTAAATTTAGCCCTCGGGGGCCATTTTGTATATAACGAAGCTGAAAGATACAGTGTTGAACTTGCACGCGTGTGCTAGTATCCACGAGGATGTGGATAAGAATTGCGAAAGGTATTTGAATCAGAGCATCGAAACCGGAATGGAAACCGCAATACATAATCGGTTGCTTTTCGGTTACGGTTCTGCGACTGCAATTCTCAGATGACCGAAATACTGACCGTAGCACCGCAAGGAAATGATCGACAATCGAAACGTACGACCCCTGGTATTTCGATCACGGATACGTGATCGTAAAGACGACCGAAATATTGGCCCTAATTCCGAGACAGCCGAAATACCGAGAGCAATGCTCTAAAAAGGTTTCGATTCTGGGTCACAGATACCTGCAGACTCCCCAAAGTCGAATACGTATTACCAATTTTCCAAATAAAAAAAAAATTTCATAGATCATGAAATAAAAATAGTTTTAGTCTCGTTTAAGTCCTGGAAACGAGCATTGTTGTTTCTAATCTCACGCGTCAATTTGGGGTAGGAAAACGGACGCGTACGATTCCAAGAATTCTCGTTAAAGTTATTCTATGTAATTAATTGCGATAGGGGGTAGGGGGGTGAATTAAATAGACCACCAGATACGAACGTCAATAACGTCAATATATAGTTCGCCTGGACAGAGCGAACTGACGTCCTACATTCGCCTCCTATTGGCACGATCCCTGCTAATCTGCGAAACATAACCTGCAGAAACTTCGCAAATGATGACCTTGCTTCCCTGATACTAGCAGAAGATTTGTTAGGGCGATGGATTCATTTCAAATAAACACCCCCACGGTTTCATGAGCATTTATAGAGTATTGTATTTACGGACGGAAATATACATTAGTTTGTAGCCACAATACAACGTGACTCGTGTAGGTGTATACATTGCACATGGTTTTCGAGTTGTAACAACAAAAATTTTAAACCCTGTTTAATAAAATTCTAAAAGAATCTAACAATAGAGTCATGCAAATTTCCTGTAAAAATTCAGTGAGCTATGAATTTTAAGGACGTTCTCGATCATTTAATATTTGATTTGTAGAACAGGCTCTTCAAACAAAAAGATCAGTTTCAAATCCACTGTTTGCCTAGTATTTAGTTGGATATCTTTTGCTAATTCCAATGACCTATTTGGCCTGCGTCCATTAGGCTTTGCATGTTATTGACCTCGATATTATGCAACCGTGTTTGTAATTTACTTTTTACTTGGCTTTGCTTTTCGCTGAATATTTTCATAAAACGAGGGGTCAAACGTACGATAGACTTTCTATTTTAAATTGATTTTATTACGTACGAAATAGTTATGTAACTTCTTTCGTATCAAGTTCTCAGTAAATTGGGGGGATACCATATATTAATAATTTATTATTGACTCTGATGCACCAACATTAAACGTAAATTATATTTTCCGAATATTTATCCTCTCTGAGTTATTAACTCATTGAACTTCAACTTAATTGAAATTTGTTAATTTCTATCCACTATGGTTTCTATCTTCATCTTTAAAAGATTTCCAACGTCACAAGAAACGACTAGAAGTGTCATCCGCGTTTATTTCTCTTATTTATTATCGCACCGTGAATATTTAGCACGTGAAACAGTTACCAGGATGTTCTATATTTATCTTCTTATTTCATACACTTCGCTGCGTCAATGAGTTCACGTATCGCGGGCAAAACTAACAAATGATGCAACAAATTCCAAAGAAATTCGTGTTTCCACTCCACCGTCCGACCGTTCCCTCTCAACCGGGTTTTTTTAAATTTCCAAACGGATCAGAGTTTCTGTTTTGGTCTCTGATACAAAACGAGAGGCTGCAGGAGTCGTAACACGTCCGAATGACGGACGAAATAATTTGATAGACTCGTATTAGCCTGAATTCCGACAATCCAGTTAGCTACCCTAACCCTGATCCAGCCTCGTCCTGAATTCAGAGTAACTGACATGAACTGGTGCACCGATAGCCTAACGTTTTGTATAGGCTTCTTAAGACTGGTCGAACCAACACGTCAAACGTCTCCGAGAAGCATAGAACTCCTTCGATGCACCAAAAGAATTCGCAATCCCATTACAGCTTCTAAATTTAATGGTATTATCGAGGATCATAGATCGTGCAGCGATAACACAGAAATTGTAATTAATTACAATGACATGACGATTAATTTTGTATATTGGATATCGTTACGACGAATGCCCCGGGTTGGTACGGTGGAAAAAAGCAGTGAATCGAACGATAATGGACGGAAAAATTATAAACTCATTTCTCGATAAGATTCCCCGAATCAGAGTTGGGTCCGATAGGAAAATATAAATGGAATACACGCTTGAAGCTTCTATTCGAAGCAAATCGTATATCACACAGTGTCTCTCAAAACTGTTGCAATATGAATTAAAGATTCAATAAAAATTAGATAAACACCTTCGAAGAAAACCAATTTTAAGTATTAAGTAATCTTAAGAGTAAATATGGTTGGTTGTAATAATGAATAAACAAATTATTGTAATAGTTTTGAGAGCCACTGTTTACGTGCTTTATGGCTGAACTTTGGTCGATGTTGGTTCGCATGACAACGAAGATATCATAACGGAATGAGCGATGGGACATAAATCCCGATGTTTAGGGCGGGAAACAATACGGTTTTATGATAAATTGCGTGCAGACTGTAATAACCATGGCGCTATCAGTCCACCGTTATCATTCAAAGGAAAAATTCGTTCTGTATCGACGTTCTATGAAATTCATTTTCATTCCTGGAAAGATACTCGTAATCGTCGGTTGAAGAAAATAAAAGCACGATAAATGAATATGATAGGACGACATATATTAAAGATTTTAATTTGCATTAGATGCTACCGCACCCCTACGCATGCGGAGTCGCTTTGAAGTTCGGCCATCGAGCGCGTGTAATACGAGACTCGTTCGCTCTTGGTGTATCTCGGTTATTCTGTTCATCGGACGTTTCACGCGTGGGTGGGTCTCAGCCCCAGATACGAAAGGTCGATTCCTCGAACGAAATCGCGAATAAACCTGAACAGCTAAAACGCCACGATACCGGTTTTAATTTTTTAATTATCCGGGAAATATTGCGCGTAATTACAACTAGCCCAGAGTTTGGTAGACAGATTTATACGAATTATGAGCAGTGTTAATTTTAATTGGCATCCAAAATGTTATTCTTTATTTACCCTTTCATTGTCAAAGCATAAAGCACGAAATGATCGTTCTTTGGCAACGTACAGAGCGTAAATAACGAAACACGACTCACCGAGCATCTTGACACCCTGAACAGGACTCAAGGGGTAAAAATCCCCGTGAAGAGGGCAATGGAAACCGACCCTACGCTCCCTTCTTCTCGCCCTTCTGGTGAGCATGCACAGCAGCACGCCGAGGGCTAGCATGAGGGCGCCCACCACGATACATATCGGCCCCAAGATTCGGGAGTTCCCCGTGAACGCGATCCTAGCTGCGTACGAATCCTTGTCCTCGTCCTCGCCAGGCCCGCGATAAGAGGCAGCTGCAACGAGCAAACAGACGCGATCAGAATTTTTTATCAACATGTAGTCACGTTATTCAGTCTTTCGGAAGGTACAAAGATAAAACATTCCCCAAGTTTGGTCTCCATTTTCTCGAATTCAGTTCGTACAATGCATTCTTTTCCCGTTCACATCAGTGTGCAGTTTTCATTTGATAATTTCTTCAATTTTTATTTGTTTGTAATGGAAAAATTCATGCATACAAAGGTTGTAGTTCTTTTTCTTTTAAATTCTGGAAGACGACTTATTTTTTCGATCCTCTTAACCGCAGATTCATAACTCAACTATCCTGTGTCGTCCTTTCGGAGATTCAGAGTTTTGGCGTTACGTTATAAATGTTTGAAATTTAATCTTCGAGAGTGCTTGCGGCTAAATTCACGCTCTCGTGGTTCCGCGTATAGTATCGAACTTTCCGGAGATACCGCAGCACCAAAAAAGCGAAATAACCGAGAATTTCAGGGAAGAAAAAGAGAAGAAGATTTTTAATTAAATATGCAAGATGGAAACGACGACTGGACAAGCCTGTGTCGTATATTACCGCATAAGGAAATCAAATTACAGGCTACTGCAATCGTCTATTCTTCTCCTTACACGAATTATAAAACGAAATTTAATATATTTCTTTGAAAAGGTCAACGATATTAAAATTACGACCTCTACGAACTATAAACTGTATTTCAAGACACCCTGTACAGTCTCGCGTAACCAAAGAACGGTATCGAGCTCGAGAGGCGGAAGAAAGTGCACGAAATCCGACTCCTCTTCAAGTAAGAAAATAGCGAAGAGTCACAGCAATCTGCACTTCACCTTTATTATTTTTTCGAGGGGGACCGAGGATGCTGATTACGCCTTGGAATCACGTGGGAGAGTTTTAAAGAAAGTTTCCTGCCAGTTACAGGAGAAAGTCATTCTTCGGACGATCTCTATAAGGGAAGAATCTCGGGAGAACGGCGCCATTTTAGAGACGCGCGCGTAACTCCTCGTTTTCGATTTTATTCTCCGCGAAATCAACGCGAGAATGTTCCCACGCACCTGGACGAACAATGTTCGACGTAATAAAGCCACAGTTTCTTTTTTTAAACTGTAACTTTATACATTTATTCCGGTTGATTCGATATTCTTGGGCGTCGAATAATGGAGAGCTTATTGAAAAATGTGGGATCGTTCGATGCACGATTTTTAACACGGGGCAGCAAAGAAGGAGCAAATGACAGGGAACGAAAGGGAAATGAGGCCCAGGACCGGTCCCTATCAGGAGAGCCAGAGGCAAGAAAAAGAATGGCGACGAAGGAAGGACTGACCGGTTTTGATAAATCGGTTGGTAACAACGGTCCGGGACCCGTATCTGAGAAACCATGGCCAACAAGTAAACGACCAGCTGTTGCATGGTGGTGAACAGCCGAGCCTTTCTTCCTTCGCTTTTTCCTCCGCGTCTTCTTCTTCGGTTTCGTGACATAAACGCTACATTGCCGTCGCGGAGTTCAATCACCTCGAAAAATAGTGGTTCTCAAATGGTGCAACGTAACGAGCACAGCAGAACAGACGGCTGATGCCTCGAGATAAACGTTATGGGCTTTACGTGACGAGAATTCCCATCATATTCCTTCACACGCCACGGCGAGAAATACAATTCGGACCTCGAGAAACGGTAGATCATTTTCCACCCGACTTAAGAACGAAATCTCAAATTTTCTTTCGCCTTTTCGGGGGCCATTTATTTTTATAAGCTGAAAATTCAAGAAGATCGAAGGTCCATCGATTGCAACTAACAAGTGGATGGCTTGAGATTTCTGACGAGCGTCGGTAATTAAAAAAGACGGAGTTCACGATGTTGGTTGAACCTTGGACCAACAGGAGCGTAAACAACATCGTCGATTATCCGTTGTAAACATAAATCGACGCAGCAATTTCCCAGGAATCGATCTCGCCGCGTATAACTTTGTCGTTCGAGTATTTACTGCCAGCTCAGCTTAGAACAAGGCTTCTTATTCGGTAGAACTAATCGAATTCCACGAACACGTCAGAGGCTTCCGTTAGATCAGCAGAGAATGCTAAGCTGCGAATAGAGAGTAGTTTCCATCATCGTGGAATCCACGTTTCTTGTCTTGCACGTGTTCCCGTCAACGCAGTGTGAATTTAGTAGCTTTCCATCGGAATTACTTACGCCCCGTAATGCAATTTTACTGAATTTTTCCATACAAAGTGTCTATTCGAAGTGTTACGATCGAAATATTTCGTGAAACTTTCATAACAGAAAAATGCAGAAGGCAAGGAAGAAATATATTAATATTCATTAATATATTTCAATCATTCTGTGCATGTTTTTTCTTTTATCTTTTGTATCGATGTAAATATTATTTTTCTTCGAATCGATAGTATCGACACGTTTATAAATCGATGTAACCGTTAAGTGGTACATATCTCGAACCTTATAAGCCTATAATTTCTTGGAACCTGTACGCTTTCTCCAAAATGGAAAGTTTCGAACGACATTTCAACCAATACATAGCAATTTCCCATTAAATTGCAATCCAGAGATACAACTTACACATGCTAATAAACAACCGTTTAAGAAGTTTGGTTTTATTTATAATGGTATATGCCATACCGTTTGAAACACTTGAGTTTGATATTTCGTTTATCGAACATTGAAAACATTAAGTTTTCGAACAGGAATGAATGGTTTTGCGTTATCGTAATATTCGCCTCGACATTTATCGGATATGAAACCGCTTGCATAATAGGATTAACAACCAGCCGAGGAACCTTTGTTCCTTATTTTGTTCCAATATTAGCTGTGCAATTGCAACGAAAGACAATGGGGGCGTCGATATAGAATAGGCGTGGGCAAAAACAATAAGAAGCACGATACAAACCAGTGAGTACAGCGCCGACGAGCATGAAGAGGAACCCGAATGCCGGAAGAGCAATCTGGCAGTTCGCAGCTATTACAACCCCGGCCACCATCAGGCCACCCTCAATCTTCTCCACTTTTAAGCGTGATATAGGGGTCGGACATTTTAATTTTGTACCGAGTCCGCCACTCAGCGTGCCCTCCTCGCCGGCCATGGTGTTGGGCCTGAAATAATAAACGAAACAGAAACATATTTAGTCGATTCCGCTTCGCCAATAATCCACATCCCTCGTAAATATTAATGCACATATTGCATGCAGTCCTCACTTCTAAACTGTGAAAATAATACATCATTTTCTACGAACATAAGAGACGTACTTAATGTGTGTGCTGATATAAAAATGTGTACTTATTAATAACTAGACTGCGGCTCTTTATGCAAATTCATATTTTTATTAATAGAATTAATAAAATGGGAGCTTTGTAGATGATTGTCTCAACCCTTAAATATAATAATTCGTATCTTATATTTTTGCATATTAAGTGCATTCTGTAGTTTCTTGAGAATTAAAATCCCCCATAAATGCATAAACATCCGCAGTCTATTAATAACATATTTATGGTATTATTAAAAAAAAAAAAGAAAAATACTGATAAGGGCTCAGCCGGGATTCGAACCCGGGACCTCTCGCACCCAAAGCGAGAATCATGCCCCTAGACCACTGAGCCACTCGATTTTTTGCTTCGTGTATTCACACAATCATAAATCATATCCAATAAACATTCACAAATATTCAATTTCTATACCTCTCTCAATTAAATAAAAAAAATAACATTTGTGTATACGTATGGAATAACTATAAAATATAAACGTATTTTCCTTTTCCTCTTTTAGCATTAATCACAATTTTGTAATATATTTATAAATGAAAAATTTGTTTATAAAAATTACAAATACAATTTTTTATTATTGGAATACATTTATATTGGATTCTTCTATGAGAAAGAAAAAAAAAAAATTGGGCTCAGCCGGGATTTGAACCCGGGACCTCTCGCACCCAAAGCGAGAATCATACCCCTAGACCACTGAGCCGCTTGCAGTCAAGTGAGCAAAAGTATAGTCATTACTGATGAACAATATTTCTTTGCATACAGGAACATTTAATTTTTGCTATTTTTTATATATTCTTTAACTACCAATATTCCATTGAATAGCTTTTCCATACAAAAGTTTATTCTTTTTTCACGTAGAACAAATAAAAAAACTTTGTTATTTATCATTTTTGCCAGAAATATGTCGTTTTCAATGGACTGCATTTTTCAGAAAAATAAATACCGAAAATAATCGTTTTCCATGACTGCATAGTATTATAGTTGGTCCCCTGTAGCGACAGATTTATGATTACTCCGGTTTGTTAGACCTTCAACAGACTTTTCGAATGATTTCCTATATAATTACTGCAGCAACGGACTGACCTATGACGAACGACAAGGATAGAGCACGTTAATTAGGTGAGTTCTACACGCTATGGCATTCCGACCTTTAGGCAAGTCTATTACAACTTTCTCATCGTAGATTAATTAAGTAACTATTGTTTCCTGTCCCCGTAGTTGCGAACAAATTTTACTTCTCAATCGTGACATAGAAAATCCTATTTCATTTATCGACATAATTCTCATTTAAATCGAACAATTTCTATTTCCTTCCTCTACGCTATTTCCATTTCAATCGTTTTTTAAATACAGTAAATAATGATTAATTTGTACGTCTTTTTGACCCGATAAATAATGTTCCATCGATAGTTTCGATTACATATTTTAACATCGTCCAGTTTTACACAGTGTACGGCAACGAATCCGGCGCCACGGCGATCAACAATGTGGCATTCGCGTCGAAGAGCTTGAAAAGAGCAAGGGCGTCGGTTTTGCGCGACGGAGTTAAGCTCTCGAGCTTTGAGCTTCCGTCGCCCAATTAACGTCGACCAACCTACCCGCTCTTCATTAAGCAAGCCGGCCTCTTGCTCCGCATAATGAAAAGGGTACCTCGTTAAATTCACGTCGATGTATGAAAGGAAATAGAAAAAAGAACGAAAATCCCTGTCCATATGCTTGCATAGTTACGGGGGTAAACAAACGCCGCGCATATTTATTTTTTCTTCGTTAAAAACAACCGTGCGTTTCACGGAGAGAAAATTGCCGCGACTTGTTCGAATTTTCCATTTTCAATTCCTCGAATACACGTGGTTCGAAAGTCATCTCCAGCATCCGATCGTTAAAGAGTCGGGATTCACCGGAAACCACTTCCCCCGTTTAACTCCAGGCTCCATAGAAACTTTCGCATGGAATTGCACAACAAAAAAAGGTAAACAGAGTCGTCAACTGTCGCGCGTACGAGTCGAGACGGGGAACACAATGGCCCCCGATAGATGAATTGCGATCGACATGACCTCATTCTACAAATCTCGACAAGATAACCCATGTACCCTCAACTCTTGGCTCGCTCTTTGCCCCATTTACCCGGATGTGTCGGTCGCCGGGGACGCGGTGGGACAAGGGGGGTCTAACAATTGAAGCAACAAGAACGAGTACCACTTATTCCCGTGTCGCCGCTATAAATAAGTTTCGACGACGGTGACTCAATTTATCGAAATCGTTGCTAATCTTCGTCGATGCATTGCTGTCTCTGGATCGCGAATCATAAACAACGGGTTTCGTAACCGCGAGATGAATCACAACGAGATTCGGGGAAAAATTCACAGTATAAATCTGGATGAATGACGAAAATTGGCGAAAGATAAAAACCTTTTAATTCTTCGATGGGCCTCGGGCAAACTAAAAGGGTTTCTTCTAATTTCTTACCGATACATTCGTGATTTCTAAAGATGGGCGCGGCAGTATTGTGCCACGAGAGGGAGATAATTTTAATGACTTTGCAAAGGGGAGTTATTCCCGGCGTGACAACCGTGCTATTATGCTTTCTTACGCAAAAGAGCGGAAAACTAATTAACCCCGAGTGCTGCTTCTCGGTAAGTCCATTGCCGTCTGAGAAAATTCGATGAACTTTGCGAAGCACGGAGGCTCCAGAAGTACTTAAAGAAAGAATCTTCCCGGTTTTCGCAAACTTCTCGAGCGGCGTGAAACAAAGATGGCGGAGGAGCTGGCGTTTCTGCCTCGGTGAACCATAATTTTATGATATAATTTGCCTTCCACTTTTTCTTTTGTTACACGATAATCATTATTGAATAATGGCCCATATAATCATATAACTTTAACAATAAGGTAATCAAATCTTTCATCCTGCAAAATTTTAACTACATCGATGACCCCCAAGGCCTTGCACTCTCTGTGTAAGCTAAAAAGGAAAAATATAAGTGTCGGTTGCTTTAAGAGCCATTACATGAGAATCCTCCCACCCTCCCCCTTAAGTATCGATTGCAAAATTGTCGGTACCAGAGTGGATTCGTCTCTCTCGGTCACGCAAGTGATCTCGAGACAAAGGCAAACGACACACGACGGAAGAATAATACGTCCGGCAAAATGAATCTAACAATACGCAAAATGACCTTGCACAAAGAGTTGTGAGCACCGGCAGGTCGACGACCGGTTAGTATGGCTCGCAAGATGCGACAAGGAACGCCTTTCTACAGCCTTGACTGCAACCTCCATTACGTTTTGCTGCCAGCTTCGTCGTCACGTGTAAACGTGCACCGAATGACGTATTACTGTCGCTCTCCGACGTCGCACACGCATACTAACCTAATCTAAACCCGTTATTATGCCGACGGATATTTTTATAAACGCACGCAGGTTATTAGATTAGGGGGGGAAAGAAGTGCAGCGCGCTTTTACGTCTTTTGAAAACATCTTTGTTAAAAGAGAGACACTTTTGAAGACGTCATTCAAGAAAGGACATTATAATCGCAATAAGCAATCGAAATAAATTTTTCTTGTCGATATCAACAATAAAAAGAAACATTTCAGTCACTTGTAATCGTTATTTGCAACTAAAAACATTGCTTGAAAGGATAATTATCCTGTAACTTTTTATTGGTTGCAATAGAATTTTAGGTATTGAACCAGAATCACTATACCCACTCGTGGAATGGTCATTCAGTGGGACAAGGTGAAAAAGTCGAAAATGAAATAATGGCCGATAATGAGAAAATGGCGGTTCGGAGCGACGAGTTCGCTATTATCTAATTCCTCGTCTTTTTCGACGACGGCGTTCATGAGTGATAATGCTACATTTTGGTCATTTAAAAAGTATCACGTTGATTCGTCAATTTAAATATAGAATTCTTATATCCAATTATTGCAACAGTTTTGAGGATCACTGTATGTTGAATTGCAGTTGCTATACGTGTATATTTTGCTCGTTCTCAACGTTATCACATTAAATCTCTATGTTGGACGCCACACGCGACGCCCAGCCGCAGATTCGGACGAAAAGGTCGACCCCCCGGAATAAAATCGCCTACCACCCTCGTTAAAAGCCTCCGAGCGGCCTCGAATTCGCGACTTTTGTCGGGGGCATCGCGTTTCAAAGGGCAACACCGGGGACCACGGGTAGAAAAGAAAAAATCCTTGGTATTTCTCAACCTCGACTCCCCTGAATTCGATTTCTATGGTCCAATGCGTCGTTCTGCACTGGCATTTAGCAACGAAACGAAGTGCCTGTCCACACGCGAACGAATGACGTGGACGGATGTCGAACTGAATTGGCGCAATGACCATAACCAGGGCCTAATACGGCAATGGATGTGCGACCTTTTCCTTGCCGTTTAAAACAGTGAAACCGAACGGAACAGGAACACGTGGAAGCTTCGTTCAAACGCGTGAAATCTTTCATTTTGAATAAAAATACGCAGATCGCGAAGGGACTCCAAAAAACTAAGCTGATGTTTCACTGAGATGAGACACGTTTCTAAACAAATTCGAAAAGAAAACGATAACGTCGAATTAAATTTCGGAGAATTTTTAAGCTCGACTTGTTTTCATAAGTGTGTATATTATTAATGCAAGAAATAAACAATTTTATAATGTATTTAGATTACTGTAATCTAAAAGTTGAAAAATGCATTGACAAAACGTATGGAAAGTATTTCATGAAAATTCGAATCCGTTTTAGTTTCGAAATTAATGCGTATTTTTTCGCGGCGCCATTAAAATTCTTAACGCGTAGGAAGGCAAAGATGGCGATAAGGCTGCATCGTAGCTTTTGCTGTATCGTTTCCAGATAATTTCCTTGTTGCTCGGAATACCTTTTTACCGTCGCTTTCCCTGCCCCCCGAGTCTATAAAAATCTACGATATTCCACGGAGATTCTTTCGAGCGACGGCGCGCATGAATGAATATCAATAAAAATGACGCGTACAGGTAGCATGACGTTCGGATATAACTAACCCATTTCCAAATTAGTAGTACAAACACACGTACACATAGATGGGCGCAAGGATACAGTAAATTGACGTCAGAGATCTTTAACTTCTAATTGCTTCCCGAGTTACCTCAGCATTTCAGAGAGGGAAAGAAATTCCCGTGGTTTCTCGACCGGAAACTCCAGCAAGTTAAAACGTTCAAGTTTTGTTTCTCTTGTCTTTGTCTATTTCGGAAAGGAACTCTTCCTATTAACACTCGAACCACCAAACCAGTCAAACTAACTCATTCGTAATTTCTAATAAAACCTGTAAAAAATTTACCATAATTCATAATAACTGTCGGTAATTCTAGTGTTAATAAACTCCTTTTTCGATCTCTCAAAAGCTGTCTCAAAATTCCAAGATGTTCCAGAAGACCGAAACATTGACTTTGGATAATATTTTAATACATAACTCAAAGTTTGCATCAGTTTTTACTGTTGTAATAATTTATTATGAGTCCCTGATTTATCTCCACCTAAAAGTTTGAATGTAATCACCTGCAAATAAAACTTTAGCACGGTTTATTATTAACACAGTGTTTGCAATTCAGTGGCCGCGTTGCGTATCGCTCCAGAGAAACAGAACCGGTTCGCGACACCCGATAAAACACCATAACAAGATAGGAGAAAGAGAGAGAAACGTACCGAGTACAGTTATCGCTGGAAAACTGCGATTTCTCGGTGTGAAACTGGGTGCTGAACGTCATAACCGAGCAGGTTGGCAATCGTTCCTGCCGCTGGTGTGAATTTTTGCCGGTTTTCTGCCGTTTGTTGTTACCGGCAGAGTAGTAGCCACGGCCGCCGAACAATTCGGCTAGTCAGCTGATCGCGCGATGCTTCATCGCTTCGTTAGTGAGCATTATCGCCGGAATTTTTGCGTGAGAAACGTTTCCCCGCGGCTGTTCGCCCGCCGGACTCCACTCACGAATCACGAACGAGTTCTTTATCCGCGTTCAGGTCCCCTGCAGACGCGAACCCGAACTGCTTTCGGAGCACACAACAGGTCGTTCAGCGCGCCACTCCACCGTATGTCCCCGCCAGCACGGTCACACTTATTCCGTTTCCCACGAGACTGTATCACAGATAGACTTCCAGCACTTCGAACCGTCAAAGTGATAGAAAAAGAAAAAAAGAAAATCACAGCATCCGTCGGAGCAGGTGAACGATCGATCGTCGAGAGAAATGTCACGGAGTAACGGGTATCGAGGCGCGGTCGGTAAACACAAATTACAGCACGGAAATTTTACGAAGCGACGCTCGAACGTACAAAGTGCAACGACCTGTCGCTCGATCTTTGTTGTTCGCGAGCGTCCGTCCGGTGGATCGGTTATCCGATAACGATCGGTCGTCGAATCGTCGCAAAACGCGCGCGTCCGTGCATCGGGTCGCGATTATGCAGAACGATCGGTGCTATTGTGCGGTAAAAAAGCCAGGAGTATCCGACGAAAGCCGACCGCGGCCGAGTCGTACCGAATACAACGAACCAACTCCCGTCGCGTCTGGCATCCGACTGCCTCCCGAGAAAAGCCGGCCTACGGACGCGGGGAAACGGCTACCTCACCCTCCGCCCCCGTGACCCCTTGTCACGACCCTGGGTCGCGCCATCGCACTGCTACGGACCGTGTCACTATCCTCAACCCCTCTGCAACAGCATCCCAGCACCCGATATCCGGACGTATTTCAAACACGCATCCAGCAACTCCTTTCCAGTTTCTTCGAGATTCTCGTACCTTTCCCTCCCCCTCGTCCCACAGAGTCACGCTTTTTTCTCCTCGTTTGGAGCATAGTTACGCGCGACAGGATACTGTACCCACAACGACAGTTTTGTAGCTTTTTAACTCGTTCTAGGTCACCTATTTTTATTCCTAACCTTCCGCCGGAACCTCTGTACGTCACTGGTTATTATTTAGTCTTAAATCCGTAACGATCTCGCCTCGTACTCGAGAGGGATCATCCCCCCATCCGAGGAGATTACAAAAATTCTCGAACTGGAGATCTATAGTTACTCTGGTCAGGTTAAAATATTAACCTTTAGGTCCCCCCCCCCCTTCCCTGAGGCGCGAGAGGACCTCTTGCAATGTGCTGGTTCATACTTTTTATCGAAAATTATCCCATGACGTTGAGAAACATATTTATGACGTAATCCATATCGTCTATCGAGTACCTCACGTCAGGTCACTACTTCCAACCCCCACGGCATAGTCCCTCGGAGCCTGACCTACCCCGAGATAGAAAGATATTTCTGAAACGAATGAATTAACGATCGATAAGGTGGTCGGGGGGGTTGAAAGATCGAGCGATTACGAAAGCTACGAAAGGAAAAGAGGATGAAAATCGTTCGGCCATGACGGCAATCTCGGTCTCATCTCGCCTAGGCCAAGGCTGGGCATAATCTGCACGCGATTCCTACGGAGTGTTTCTAGTTTCAACTCGTCCGAAGCCACAATGTCTTATAGCATTATCGCGGTGTGTGCACCGTGTGTCTCATTCGATGTTAGATGCACATCGATATACGCGCACGCCAGTTTCGCAATCAAGCAGGCGGTTTTAACCGATGACGATTCTAGAGCGGTTAGGTAACCGAAGGTACATCAAAGTTGGCATTCGCATGAGGAACCATCGCAATGCGATGAACCGACGAGATCAGTTATCCGTCAGTTGCGCGAATGGTAGCTTTTCGAACGATTATCGCGCGCCGATCGTGAAGGAACCATGGGTGAGATCTGTTCGAGTCTTCGAACGGTCAAGGATTGGGTGCAAGGATTGCAAGACTCCAATTGTAATCGAAAGATCCCGGTTCCCGAAACGAAATTCACGAGCGAAACGAACGATTCGAACTTTGACCGCGAAATGTGGAGGCAAGGTCTCTTGTTCGACGCGTCCATCGAAAGCAACGTCTTCGATGCCATTTGCACGATTAATCGTTTGCTCTTCTTCTACGTGATCATCAAGTGGATCAGTTTTGAAGTTTGGACGCTGGTGGGTGATGGCCCCTTCGCAATGAACCGGTGCTGTGTCTAGAATACTTCGACCTGGGAAGATTCAGGAGAAAAATATGGAAACAAGAATGAGTCACGTACCAAGAACGATGAAGAAGTTTGAATAAAATAAAAGTTCTCCTGTAATGAATCACAGTTTCTACGATGCTGTTTATTTTCGTTGGAAATTGTATTCACTTCCATCTCGATTGTTGGGACTATGATTGGTCGATTTTTTGGACATAAAGTTTGTATGGAGCCTAATGCAAAATTATTTCTATCGTTTCTGTTTCTACTTGTTGATTAAAGGGAACACTACAGTATTTTTACTTTAATTCCGGAGTATCCTTTCTGTTTGAGATTCAACTGCGTTTGTTTTATTTATAATAATAATAATCGCCGTTTAAACGCACGGCGTTTCGTAGTCTTCGATGTCCCGGCGCCAATATTTTTGGGGAATCAACGGAAGCTAAAATTAAGTCAACGTTCTATATCGATTCGACGTAACGCGTGCCAATAATTATCCTCAAAACTTATTTCTGTCAACGACGCGAATTACGAACGGTGGACAAACAATCAAGGGTCCCGGTGAAGTGGTTCCTTTCCCAAAAACGAGATACTATAAAGGGTGCCCCAGTAGTCGTAGTTTTTTAATATAAATTCAATCTTATGGCATGTTTTGCCACTGCATTCGTTTCTCGATGAGCCCCCCTGTCGACTATACACGATAATTCGAGATAAAAATGCGGGCGACAGCGTGAAATCTGTTTTTGGCGATCGGAGATGAAGTCAGACCGGCGATCAAACGCAATTTATTTCAATGTTCATGCTCCAAATTCTTGGCGGGCATCGAAAATAGACTGCGATTTCCATCAAATGCATGCATCTGTCTTCTCCTTCTATTCCGTACGTCGGGCTTGCCGCAGTCATAGCTAACTGATTTGCTGCATCGCAGGAAATATGCTCTCTCGTCGGTTTTTTCATCTTTACTATAAACTCGTGTATAGATTTCAAATTTTTTGAGCTCCTCACAGCCAACATTCGCTACAATAGCCTTCACGAAACCATTGTTAGTTATCTAAACGCTTCCAATGCATCATTAATAGTTTGCACGCGTGCATGTGAAGCACTTGCAACGCTATAAAGAACTGCAGAATAATTGCTCGCGATTCTTTGTGTTTTCTAAACAGACGTTCAGCCTCGATCGCGAAAGCAAAGCAATTTTCGAAAGAAACCAAACATTTGAAGAACATCCTCGCAGAGATTTGAGGGAGAATTGTCATAAAATTTCCCAATAATCTCTGAGTTGTCCAGAAAAACGGAAATAAGGACTAATTATAAGTCGTGAACTCAGCAAGTGACGTCCTCTAGAAATAGACCTTATCTCCCGCAAAGAAACGTGAACAAATTTAAATCGTCGCATCTGCTGAAACAGTTCTTTCAAGGGGGAGAATCTAATCGTTAAAAAAGTACATTATCATTGAACGAACATCCATTTTTGTTTGAACTACTTATCTTATGAGTTGTTTCACAACTATTCTCGCAAAGAAAATAGACAACCTTACCAAATTTCTATCTAAAATAGTGTAAAATGGCCTGGTCGTTGATAACCATGCAGTTGATGTAAGTTTAGAGCCCAATGAAAAAAGAATTCAAACACTGGCTCGATTGAATCTTTAACTTGCAATTAGAAGCGAACGAGTGCGTCAGTTTGCAGCGTTATTCGCGTGAAACGAAGCACTCCGAACAGATTAATTCTCGACCGAACGCTAACAAGTTAAGCTGAAAACTTTCCGAGACTAGTAAGAAGTTTAAACAGCTTCCCAAGGCACGCCTGAAAGACGTGTGTATTAAGGCTTAGACTTCTCGAATGTTTTTGGAAACTTTCATTGATCTTTCAGCCCGATTTTCTAAATCTTCTATGAAAATACTATTAAATAGTAAACACTCAATTTATTCCGTTTTGTAATGAAAGGAATACAGTACAAATATGAGGGTACTATCCAAGTACAATGTTTACGATAACAAATATAGAATTGAACCCACAAGTAAAGGTTCTTGAGTCCATTAAAGGAGCAAACTTTGATGATTTTATTATATATTAAAGGATTAAACTACCAATTGTCTTAAAGACAAGGGAGCTCTGTCACTCTTGGAAGAGGATTTTGTCTGTATCTCGATCAAGTTTCAATCGCAACAAGGAAGAACTTGGCATACGACAACACACACAGAGTTCGTCGTGATGCACGCTGGTCGTTCTCAGTGAAAACTGCATCCGGTGTTCCTCGGTCCTCTCGGCACGTAGCCAGCTCTCGATAGGCCGAATTCTCTTTGTTGGTGTCGCCACAGAGGATCCCGGTCCGCCTATCAAACTTCCTCGTGGCCGCTGGTAAAAAGCAGGACAATCGAAAGCTAGGATGATTTTGTGGACCGACGCTGCTGCGCCGACCCAGTTTGCCGCAGCCAAACATTTGCATCGACGACGGAGGCACCGGGCATCCCAGACGACAATTACGAGCGTACCAGTTGCACGACAGCACCGGGAGAGTTTTCCTTTTGCTACGTTGCGCGCGACAGAGCCGAGCTGAAGCCAAATTTACACCCCTTCGCTTTGGATGATCATCGCGGGTGAAAATCATGGATGAGAGTTGCAGTATTTGCATCCGTTCAGCGAGAAATGAGTAACACCGGGTCGTTCCTGTTAACGAAAGGGCCAACTGGATGCATTCTAGGATCTCGAATGCTCCTAAAATAGCTCCTAAAGTTTGCCTGAGTGATGATTCATAAAATGAACATCGTTACGGGGTTGGTACGTTCATCTTTCGTACAGCGGAGGTGAAATTCGACACCAGCGGATGCTGTGTGTACCTCAGACCCTCTTCGTGTTTCGTTTTCTGTCTCTTTCTGCGTTCCACCGTGCGGCAGCAACGCAAAGAACGTTGTCCCCTTTCGATAAACGTGCCTCTTCGGCCCTGACTAAGCACATTTAACGCGGGAGCGCTGTAAATGGTTCGTACGTCAGTCTCAGTGTCCGGACCTTGACCGTAACTTTCAAAATTGCACCCTCTTAAAAAGAATTTCATATCTCGAGCCTTTCAAAGAGGTGTCTATGCTACGTATAGCTGTACATAACCCTTAGCCATTCTTTCTATGAATAGAAGTAGTTATGTACGGAACTTTGAATGCAACGGAGTACGGATCACGGTTACTGGCGAAATATTCAGTACCCATGGGCTGTCAAATGGTACGAATCCGCAAGGACAAATCTAACAATTAGGATACTCTATACTCTAACATCTAAATGATTCAGAAGGGTTGAAAGTTTATTCCTCGTGTTCCCTTCTACTGATCCTTCCAATTCTCTCGAGCATTGCGTGGCGGCGAGAAACCGAGGTTGAGGAACCCCCCTTATTCCGTTCTCGTCACGGTAGAATATTTTGCCCGAGGACAGCCTGTGAAAAGAGGGGAAGGAACAGAAGCTAGGAGAAACCGTGGCGGGGGAGAAAAGAGCATGGACGCCGGGGAGGTCTCCCCGGTTCAAAGATAGAACGACAAAGGAGGTGGGGGTAAAAGGGAAGTTCGGGCAGGACGAAAAATGGACGCGAACGGAGACGGAGAGAAACCAACGGTGGAAAAGATGAGGAGGGAAATTAAATAAGGGGAGAAAAGTGGAGCGAAGAAGGGGGAATGGGAGACAATGCAAAGGGGTGAAGAGGTGTGGGAGAGATAGATAAATAGCTAGATAGATGGATAGATGGATGGATAGAGGAAGAGTGGGGAGAGAGAGAGAGAGAGAGAAAAAGCAAAGGTATGGATTGCAAGACGGGGAACAGAGGAAGATGGAGATGGCTGGTGCAGATCGATAGGATGGAGCTGCGTGATGCTCGGTTTTCCTCGCAGGAGACCAATAGTCGCGATGGAACATCATGAATGAGATAAATACGTGGGTTATGTCAATGAACACGCTTCGAGGGAATTACGAGCGCGTATGGAGGTCCGGTGTCGATACAAAGAGCGTCGCGTGTTGCGGCGCGGGCGTAGAATGATTTTTATCAAGTACCTGCTTCTGCTAGAAACTGTTGCACCACGAGGTCCATGTAACTCTGACATCACGCTGAATTTGTAAATTGAAACCACATATAGTTGTTGTCTTGTTACTGTTTATTGAGATTTGATCCTTGCCTCTCGGCTTTGTACATGTGCATCTGTATGGCATCGATTTGTCTTATGGTACAACGTAACTACATAACTACAAGATTTAATTTAAACAAATTAAAATGCTTCGATGAACTTAAAATTGAACTTAAACCTAAACTTAACTAACATTTGGTTCGCTTTATATTAACTGGCTGAACTTTGGCTTACTATTTATTCCTTCCCTGTTCTTTGATCGATTATGACCTTTTAAAAATACGCGCGAAATTTCGGGGACACATTTCTACCCTGAAATGATATTTTCGGTAAGGAATTTTTTTCTCGAAAATGCGTAGGATTTCGGGGGTACGTGTAATAACCAAAAGTGTTTGTAATCGACACCTGCAATCGAAAATAATTTTTTTAGAATGATTTGAAAAATTTCAATTTTTTAATAACTTTTTAACGAAACCTCAGTCAAGAAATTAATATTCTTGATTTTCCTCCTATTTTGGCCTCTAGAATCTCTCATTCAAATTTATCCCAGGGGTGGTCGAACATCCTGTATATGCACATATGCCTGATTACATCTAGGTTATAAGAGAAACAAACAAAATTAAAGGATAAACAAAAGAAAGTATTTGGATTACGAGGTGCTATGTTTCGATATAAAGTGGATTAAGCGTAAAAGACGATTTGTTTGTAAGTAAAAGGAACCAAATATAGTATCTCATCGTATCAATATCAATCGATAGCATCCCGCTACTGTATAAATTCATTCATTTCCATTTCCATTAGTATGACGCGAATACATGACGCAGTCGCGTTGACGAAACGATGTAACAGGAATTAAAGGCCGCGGTTAGCGCGATGTGATTCGCCTCCCATACGGCGACACAAAAATAAACTCCCCGGTATAGCCTACAATCAATGACGTCACATTCGGTCAGAGTTCACCGGTCAATCACCTCTGTTTATTCCAGTCACCTGGCTGGAAGCGGTGACAAAAGGCTTCACCGTGGCCACCAGCGAGCCGATATCCCAACTGCGCAAACGTGTCGACTAAATCAACCATAACGACCACGCGATCGTGCGCAAAAAAAAAACAATCCAATAATCGAAGTGTTGGAAAACACATATTTGTCCGTTCTGATCCTTTCCTCCTTGTTGTACCAACTGTTACATCGATATTGCGTTATGCAGCAAGTTCCCTTTTTAACTGCTAAACACACTAACCAGCTATACGAGCGCGCAAACGACGTCCTCGTAAATGCAAGGTTTTATCGTCGATCGACACGCGACCGCGGCTAGCTTCGACCGATCGAAAAATCGCGCGACCATTTCCATGGTATATTCAGGCAGAAAAAGTGTTAAATGAAACTGACCAGGTGAGAAAGCCACGGAAACGTGATGCTCGTCTACTTACTTACTTGCTGCCGGCGTTCCCTAGCTGACAAGACGATGACGATTCGTCGCTGTCATTGTCGTCAGCTTCTTCTGTCGGGGGTTGTGTTGCGGCATGGCTCCTGTCGCCGGTCTCCAGGTCAGCGACGAGAGTGTACATGGACGTCGTTTAGTTGATCGTGGAACGTCGCTTCCTGGACGACATAGCCGTCTAGCCTCCGAATCACGGCGTTCAACACTTTCCGTGTGTTGTCCCTTGTATTACACGGTGGAAACGTAACGTTAAGTCCGCAGAGAGCACCAATTTCGATCACACGAACCCCTTTGTGCATCCACCTGATCACAAGTAGCGCCCTCCCATCATCGAACCGAGTGATTGTGTACAAATATACGCCGGTGGCACCACCTCGTGACCACTTATCGAATATCCTTAAAATGTTGACAAATCGATACACGTGCATCGCTAGTTTTCTATTTCGTATCAACGAACGATTCTATTCTATTATCTGTGCCCGTGATTACGGAAGTGGTGCAAGTCAAAGAACCAAAGAAATTGAAATTTGTTTCAATATTTTCATATATATTTCTAATATTTTGAATAGTCGTGAAACAATGACACCACGGTCATCTACACGATCCCTCCACATTTGTTTTGACGGTGGTGAAAGCAGAAATTCTAACCTTAAATCTAAAGTCAAAAGTAAGTACAGCGAAACTCCATTTATTCGAACCCGATGGAGAACAAACATTGGCAATTTTATACTCTTAACCTCTATGTCGCGGATGCTAAGTCGTTTACGAAGCATGAAGATAAAAATCTTTATGGAAATAAGAAAAATAGTTGACAATTATGAATTATTTAGAAATAGAATAAACAGTACTCGACCGGTGGTTTTAGGTATGGTTAGGAGCTCTGGACGAACCAGGGGCTTTGTACCCTAGGAGCCACATAAGTTTTAGGATGTTTTTAGGATCTTTCTCTGTCGTAATGGTACACCTCGAGCGGTAAAGGTGTACCGGGTTCGTGAGATCAATAATCTACAATTAATATCATAAATATTCGAAAATACTATAGTAGATAAGCAAATAAAGATGTCCGCCTTGTTATCCTATTTGAAGTCACGAGAGCCGTAAATTAGATAGTTGCGAAAAGCTGACATTGAAAAAAGGAGGTAATTGTAGTGCACGACGGGAGAAAAATTGATCGTGCACGAGATACGTTAGCGAGATATACCTCCGTAGACACAATACATATTTTTGAATGGCGCAGCGACCTCCACTACCTCGCAGGCAAAGAAAATAATCGTTGCTCCAGTTGGATGTGCGCCAGCAAATGTAGCTCCTTTTTAAGTTTGCCCTTCGAGCGTAGCCTTGACTTTCAGGCCGTGAAACGTGTACCGGTAGGTATCTAGCAGGTACCTCGCACCTGTTTCCTACGACGTCGTAATTGGAACATCTAGATACAGTTGTTGCGCCCGCCCGTGTCTGTTTTCTAAAAATACCTGCGGCCATTAATTGGCATGCTACGTTTCAAATAAATTATGCCAATCGTTCCGATTAACGCGTCCACTGCCACGGTTTTCCAAGCTTAGAAATCGTCTCGATATTTATTTAAATTGTAGCGCAAAGAATAACAATTTTTATGTGTTTTTTGAATGGAAAAAACCTTCGATTCTGAAGAGCTGTCGAAAAGTTTCTTCCAGTCCAAACCAACCACATTTTACAAGGAAGGAATTGATAAACTGCCAGGAAGATGGGAGAAGGTTATAGATAATAGCAGTGAATACACAATAAATTGATATAATTTTGTTATTTAATGAGAGCAAAATAAATGTCTGATAAAAAAACGGAAGTTACTTATAACTCGACCTAATATATTTAAAAAAAAAATAAGTTATTGTATTCGATCGAAATAAAAGACATTTGTTTGATATATCTCGAAGTGTGTATAATTATAGTCGAACGGTCAGTATTAATTATTAAATCGATGGTGCCTCACTATCAAGTGGCTATGTAGATGAAAGGTATCTATGAAAACTACTTATAAATCTAGTCGTTGAAAAATCATACATACATACAACCATAATTAAGTCTATAAATAAATATTCACACGAACAAAGGCCAAAATCTAGTTTACGAGTAATTCTAACATTTCTATTCGTTGTTTGAGAACAAAATTTGCCCGCTTTTGCTATCACGAAACAAAATTCGATTCATCGATTCTGATATTTGTAAATGCTTAACTTGATGAAATAAATTATTTTTTTTTTTTCGTGAATGTTATTACAGAGGCGGTACGGGAACTATTTTTCTTTCTTGCGCTCTGAATCTAACATTTTGTTGGTGATTTTTGTGGCGGCGTCCATTTTATTGTTACGTTCGCTCTTAGCGTCGTTCTCGTCTTGAATTTCTGTAATGGTCACCCCCTCGTCCTTTGTTTCTTCGTCCTCTAAAAGGTAGTCCCAGTCGTACGACTTGTCACCACTGTCTCGCACCTTGCTTAATTCTCTCTTCAACATCTCCAGACATTCTCTACGTTCCTTCCATTTCTCTGCTTGTACAGGATCTATGTTGGCGTCCTCGCCACGTGCTTCTTGTTCACATTTTTCTTTTTCCTCGCACTCCAGTATATACTTTTCATAATTTTCGACCTGTGAAGAAATGCACATTTTCTAAAATTGTTAAACTCAAAAGCATAATTCTTTTACGCGACGTAATAAATTTAAGGGGTAAGACCACTGTAAAAATAATCCTTTTTACCAGTGGTCCTCGCCCCTCAAGGTGTTTTTAATATCGAAATCTCATTTTTAACACGTATCTCCTGAAATAACTTAAGCACCTTATCCTGAAGCATACGCTGCACATCATTTTGTCTTTGCAAATGTCGCGGGAGCCAAAAACACGCCTGAATGAGTCGTAAGAATATCCAAACTGCCCCAGCAAGAGCCAAATACGAACAAGCAGTAAACACCATACTTACAAAATCGATCGAAATCTGTTGGTGTTTCATATTGATAATTTATTATTTTCAATGGGATCTGTAATCAACGAAATAGAGTAAAATCATCCGCAATTCGATTAAAATGGTAAACACAAATTATTATTTTAAATTTTTGCCATTAAAATATTAGAATTGGAAATAAATTTATTCCTTCATTGATATACTTGTATTTTAATGAAATCATCATTTTTATTTGTCGTATCAGAATTCGAATATATGTCGAGGTCATCTCTAATTATAGTAAACTGACGTTGCCAAGTAAAAAGTAAATTTTATAATTTTATTTTTTATTTTATAATATTTTTAAGATTTTCAATTTTGTTTAGATTTTTAAAAGTGTCTGTTAAATGAATAGAAGTATAAAAATGAAGAATATCGTTGAATTACGACATCATAAAATAAATTGACATACGTGGTAACTGCTATCATAAATATATTTATAATTATTGGAATAACAATGAACGACCAACATATCAATTATATTTCTAGTATAATTTCTTCCAGAACTTATTTATATAATAAATATTATACAATAAATGTTACAGTAGTATGTATATAGAATAAATGTAGAAATCTTGTACTGCATTTATTCGTCTAATTTGAGCATCATTAACGATCTAATATAAGAAGCAAATGGTGAACGGTGTGAGTAATGAATTAATAATAATTTGTTTAGTTGAAATTACGGATAGAATGTGATAATATACGGTGCATATAATAAACGTCAATAATATTGTGACATCCATTTACTCGTTGACGATACACTGTGAACGTATTGATTGCAGTTGCTTCGTTACAACGACAATTGTGCATTATGTACTTCCGCTACTTTCGATACAAATCCTTCATTAGGAATTTATGATAAATTACGCGACTAGCCGATTCAGGTTCTCTATAAAAGTTGCAAGCAACTCTCGAATACACGGAAAGTGTTTCACATGAAAATATACACGTTTAATAATGTTTTTCAGATTACACTCACCATATTAGTATATAAATTGATGTTAAATTGCTAACGTTGAGTAAATCGCAGGAACGTAGTTTACTCGACAATTATGTAAACAAAGAAAAGAATTAATTCGAGTAAAGTGTGTCGACAATCGCAACCCCCCTGCTTTTGGATGTACACTATATCTATTAGAAACTCAAAATAGCAGAACACTTAGTAATTAAAAATGTATAACCGAGGCGATAAATAATAATTAATACAACACATTTGTCATTCGTAATATTCAGTAAAAAACAGTTCGTGACTTCTGATAACGAAAGGGAATATATATATTAAAAATGTACAATTATGTCGTAAAATATGTTGATGTTCCATTTACGTTTGAATTTCCTTATTCGTAGCGCGCAAAATTCGATTCCCTTCGAGATCGCTGAAATTTTTAATCGTTTCTTTTACACAACCGACTTACCTTTTTAGGAAAGTGGTAGTGCTATCATATCCGAAATAGGAAAAATTACTTATTTAGAAAAAACAGAACCCGAACATGAAACGAATAGAAAAGTAGAAGAAACTACAATATGTCAGGCTGACAGGTAAAGCACGACTATCTACTACTGACCCCTATCGAGACAATCGATATATGGATATAGCCACGTATGATTAAACCGACGTCCTGACATCTTACAAATATTTTAACGCGAACAGGACCTTCCGGTGTAATTAATAATTCACTGTTCCCCGTCCGGTTCGGCTCTGCCATTAACAATTCTCTCGTTTCTTAGAAACTTTCGAATGCATAAATATTTACTCTACACTATATGCAATAATGATTGATTCTCGCATGTATTACGGTACTTTAATAATATTCAATTGTAATTCGTGTTCGGAACTTGGATACTTCCAAGAAGAGTTTTAAGTTTCAGGTTATCATCAAATAATATGAATTTTGAATGTAAAGAATGAATCGACATAAATATCATTAGTATTCCATTGGTTTAATCCGAAAATGCCTACGAGCTAAAAAGAAGAAGGAAATAAAATGAAGAATACACACTTTTATTTTCACAGTGACAGGTTAAAAATAAAATGCTCCACGTCCAACTAACATTAATCGTCTAAATACAAATTGACATTTCGTGAATACCGATAGTTAAGACCCGATCAGCATCATCGTTCGAACCGAAGAACTTATCGCGCGTTTCTCGACTACCAGACTCTAAACCTTCAAACGAGTTTCGAATACAGAAATTTATTCTCTAGGAAATTATACACGCTCGTCTAAGTCCAACGTAGTACATACAGAGTAAACAGATTTTGGAATGTGTATGACATCACAGAGCAGTCATTAGCAGGGAATAAACGAGGCCCGATGCACTTTTAGTTTCGATATTTTAATACATTTCTACGAGGAAAATACTGTTTACGTCATGGACCTCACATAGAACAAGAGATAAGGGGTAGCAGAATTTCGCGGATTTGGTGCTAATTTATCTTCCAATTCCCGTAACGGGATTACGTGTACCGCTTCGTCGTCGCATTCCAGCCATGTGCTAGGGTGTTTGTGACGACGTATGCCGCAGCAATCCATGCTACGGCAACCGACCCTTATTAATTGCTCCTTGGTTTCGCTAGCACTCGGTTTGCTTCTGAAGTACTTTAATATACCGGATGCTTTGTCGGATGAGGATGAGTTTGTACTTGTACCGCTACTACTCTGACTAGAAGTTTGTCGCTTGCTGTCTCGATCGCATTGGAAGTACTCCGCGAACGCAGATTCATCAGGTAATCGAGTGTAAGCGACGTAGTGACCGGCCGTCATCGTTGCACCCTGGTGCATAATGACGGAATACAGCTTGTACACGTGACGGGATTCTGATTTGCCCCCTGTGCCCCCGCGAGTCTGATCGTTGTTGCATTCTTCGCAGAAACATTGCAAGGTTAATGGCGTTGGCATGTGGTTATTAATTTTTTCCATTGACCTAAAGTATAATTTAAAATATAAATGGAAATGGGAATAGCTTCATACGATATAGTCTTGGCAGAAGCTTCCTTTTCAGAAAAGAAAGAACGCGTGATCTTACCCGGCTGCGGTGGAGAATCTCTTCAGTTGCAGTATGAGAAGTCTCGGTAAGGATGGAAAACATACAGCCCTTCGAGCTTCGTTGTATCGAAGGCAACTGGCGCACCAATATTTATCTCTGCCCCAAAGAAGTTCGCTAGTAACTACTGCACGTTTATATACTTCGCTGCTATCCATCGATCTTACTTCTTCGTCTGCAAATAAATACGTACGCGTTTTAATCACCGTTGATCCCTTAACGTGAACTAATGTTACCTGTTTCGTTCGATCGGTCGATATCAATAGGCACACATATATCGCAAAATGTTTCTTTTCTTTCCGTGACGTGTTCACACTCAAGGCATGTGGTTTGCAAAAGACTAACTCCTTCGAAATCCTCGGAAATGAAGCACTTCTTGCTTTCCGGTCTACGACTACTAATATCTCCGTTGCTTTCCAAAAATTCAGCGTGACCGTTTTCATATGGTCTGGAGGATGCTGACACCCCGTTTAAATTCGACTGTACAATACACGACGAACTCCCTACCGTTGTTATCTTCTTTTTTTTCCTAGATTTGCAGATGCTTCTCTTGCTGGAATTGCTACTTTTTGACTGTATGTTCGCTAAATGTTCCGTGGAGAAGTCCGTTAATCCATCACTGTTTTGACCAAACTGACTCTCCCTATGCCTGACCAACAACTGAAATGTTTCCCTGATGTTATCAAGTAAACATACTAAAAGTTCGTGAGCATCTTGCTGCTGGTTCCCTTCAAAAATAGGATTTACGTCTCTACAAGAAATACAGAGATTATGTTATAGGTCCAATTCTTCTTTTCACTATGGAGTTAACCCTTCTATAACACGGTTAATTCATTCCGTATTAAAAAATTTCTTTATTTCAACCAGAAGTGTTAAGGAGAAATTCATGATATACGGGGGTTGTTCTAGTTTATTAAATCGTGTTGTAAGAGGGTTGATCATATCATCAGATTGTCCGGATAATAATGTCGGTTTTTGACTTTTAACTTTAAACGCATGTATCTCAAAACTTTATTACTCAAAATTAAGGCCACGCGTATGTACATATTTTTGCCGAGATACAAGCTTATTTATTCCGGCAACGTTTCGTTGTTTCTTGGAGCACTTCGCCTGTAGGAAGTTGTAGAGATGCTTGAAGTGGTAATCGATAGATGAAAGATCCGGTGAGTAATGCGATTAATGCTATGAATCGTCTCGGCTACTTTACGACCTAGCTTGAACTCGTACAAAAATATTGCACGCAATTGTTTCTTTTCCATTCTTAAATCTATAGACAAAAATAAACGTAAATAAAAATTAAAAAATAAAAGTAATACGGAAGCGAAAATGTTATGTAATATGAACGGATCGAACTATTTATTTGGAAAGCACGCAGAAAAAGTCAAACAATATAAAGACCGACATTATTTTCCGGACAACCTAATATACATATACCTAAGTGCTTGTAAAAATGCATCTGGTTGATACGGTTCGCTATTTTCTCTTGCTTCGGATGCACGTAACGCTATAAACAATTCGTGTAATTTTTCGGTAGCTATTTGTATTTTATGTTTACTGCTATCTCCAGTGGATCCAGCCAAAGCTAACAAATCTTTGCTACTCCAACTACGACTGCCGCTCGACGTAAGCGACATGCCAGTCCTACCCAAAGATGATGATTTCATCTGTTGGAAAAAATGTATAAAGTGAAATATTCCTGCTCCATTGCACAGAACCATAAAATACCTCGTTTTTCTTTGATAAAATAAAACTTACTTTAGTTTGAAGTTGTTTATCATTTACATTAGACAAATCAGTGGCTAAATGGTGCAAATTATGTAGGAAGGATGGTGCAAATCTTAAAGTATATATTACACTGTTTAAGAAACATGTATTTCCTAAATTACACAAGGTAGCTATTCTCAATCCTTCTGTACCACTGTTCGATACATCATAACTTCCATCCTGATGATTGCTAAGCTGATTGCGATAGCCATTCAACATTTTGCTTGTACCTTTATAATCAATAAATGTTACATCTCTTAAAACTCCACATTAATTCAATTAAAGTTAAAAGTATGTTAAGTGATACAATCTACATACTATATGTAAAAGTTTCTCTGTTCAGAAGGCTCTCCTTAACTGTTGTCTGGGAAGCCTGAGAGATGTTAGAAATTGTACGTTCACGACCAGAAAGGGCTAAGCAAAATTTCTTTCTAGGGGGAACTGAACGTTTATCCGCGTCTTCTTCTGTATCTAATACTGTCATTTTCTGTTAACCTGAAAGAACAATAAACTTTAAAGGGCTGTTAACACAAAATGGAAATTTGTTTTCGCTTGACGCGACTCGAATTTTATACATATCTCCGAAATACCATTTTACATACGTTACGTTTCTACTCAATTTCGTAGACATTAAGTCCTACCAATTATTCTACTTTATACTATATTAAGATAAAGGTTGATCTTGATATTCGTTTACTTACGTATTGTTTGGTGGGGAAGTCATGGAATAAATGAGTTTATTATTAACCTTGGTTAATAAAACAAATGTGTATGTACAATTAAATCACAAAATGTTCTTTAAATAACACGAACTACATTTCTACCGATGTCACACAAAACAGTTTCGCGAAACAATATTGGAGCGGCCACTATCCGTTACACCTAAAATCATAAATTCCTGAATCGCGTTCATGTGCGGTTCACAATTTCACATTCATATAGCTTTTCCTTTACTGTCACACTGCGTCACAGCATTCCCCGCTACGACCGTTGCGTCTGAAAATGGACGTTAGCTATAACTAGGGCTGGCAAAAAATGGAAAAACATGGGTATATCGATACCAAGTACTATCGATGTTATTCGACACATCCATAGTACATATCGATGTTCGTAATATCGATATTATTTTAATTTCATTTTGTCCCGTCTCGATTAGAGATGGCGTGAACTGCTACTTCTGAATCACTAGTCATGGTGATTTTTCACAGTGATTCCTGGTTCTTCGTGATCGCTTTTGATTGGTGGGGATCGTTCTTTTCATTTTTTGCGAATTATGTCCTTAGACTGTATATGTATTATATCATAATATGGTCCGAAAGCAATGTTAACATAGTATCTTATTAGGAGAAAGGAAAGGAAAGCCTCTGCTGGCTTCTGCTGGCCTCTGCTGATCTCTGCCAGCATTTGCGGGTCTCTGCCTGCCTCTGCTGGCCTCTGCTGGCCTCTACTGACCATTGCTGACGACTCCTCATACTTCTGACAACGTATAACGATTACTACTTGCTACTGCTTGCCCCTGCTGGTCTCTGCTTGCCACTGCTGGCCTCCATTGGCCTCTGCTGGCCTCTACTGGCCTCTGCTGGCCACTGCTGACCACCCCCGATGCTTCTGACAACGTATAACAACTACAACTTGCTACTGCTTGCCCCTGCTGGCCCCTGCTGGCCTCCGCTGGCCTCTACTGGCCTCTGCTGACCACTGCTGACCACCCCCGATGCTTCTGACAACGTATAACGACTACAACTTGCTACTGCTTGCCCCTGCTGGCCTCTCATGACCTCTGACAGCATGTGCGGGTCTCTGCCTGCCTCTGCTAGCCTCCACTGGCCTTTGCTGACCACTGCTGACCACCCCCGATGCTTCTGACAACGTATAACGACTACAACTTGCTACTGCTTGCCCCTGCTGGCATCTCATGACCTCTGCCAGCATGTGCGGGTCTCTGCCTGCCTCTGCTAGCCTCCACTGGCCTCTGCTGACCACTGCTGACCACTCCTGTTACTTCTGACAACGTACAACGATTACAACTTGCTACTGCTTGCCCCTGCTGGTCTCTACTGTCCCTTGCTGGCCCCTACTGACCCCTACTGAACCCTACTGATCCCTGCTAACCCCTGCTCACCCCTGCTGACCACTGTTGGCCACTGCTGACCTTTGTTAATAACTTCTACCATGATATATATGTATTAAAACTTTGTACAATGTAAATTTATGGCAATAAATGACATATTTCAAAGAATTCTATTTGTTCTCATCATTTTTTACCTTCCTTTTCCTCTCCAAAGCATTCCCTTAGTTATAAGATACGCGCCACCTCTTCCCATATCATGTCCTCCTAATAACAAAGTCTAAAATCAACTTAAAACCGCCACCGCCATACCTACTCAGCTCTCGTACTTGCTGCCGAAATCAAAAATTAACTTTTAAATTTTTTTTCTGTAACCGTCACTCTCTTACCTGCTGGCAAAATCGAGAATTCATTTTTTTCGTCAAAAAATTTTACCTCGAAAATTTCGCCGATTTCCCAATTTCGATTTAAATTTTTTTTTCTGTAACCGTCACTCTCATACCTGCTGGCAAAATCGAGAATTCATTTTTTTCGTCAAAAAATTTTACCTCGAAAATTTCGCCGATTTCCCAATTCCGATTTAAATTTTTTTTCCTGTAACCGTCACTCTCATACCTTCTGGCAAAATCGAGAATTCATTTTTTTCGCCAAAAAATTTTTGCTCGAAAATTTCGCCGATTTCCCAATTTTTCAGTTGTTTCAGGGCTTTTTCGTTGTTTCAGGACTTTCCAGCTGTTTCAGGACTTTCCAGCTGCCAGGAATTTTTCGTTGTTTCAGGACTTTTCCGTTGTTTCAGGACTTTCCAACTGTTTCAGGACTTTCCAATTGTTTCAGGACTTTCCAATTGTTTCAGGACTTTTTGAAAAGTTAATTTTTGAATTTGGCAGCAAGTACGAGAGCTGGATACTTTAGGAAGCCAATTTTAACCGGAAAAACGGTTTCTTAAAACTAAGGCAATGATTTGGAGAGGAAAGGAAAGGTAAAAATGGTGAGAACGCATAGAATTCTTTGTGATTATATCATTTATTGCAATAGATTTACATTATACAATGTTTTAATACATATATATCATGTAAGAAGTTGTTACAAAGACCAGCAGTGGTCAGCAGGGGTCAGTAGGGGTCAGTAGGGGTCAGCAGTGGCCAGCAGAAGCCAGAAGGGGCAAGCAGTAACAAGTTGTAATCGTCATACGTTGTCGGAAGCATCGGTGGTGGTCAGCAGTGGTCAGCAGAGACCAGCAGGGGCCAGCAGAGGCCAGCAGAGGCCAGCAGGGGAGAGCAGAGGCATGCAGAGGCAAGCAGTAATCGTCATACGTTGTTGAAAGCATCAGGGGTGGTCAGCAGAGGCCAGCGGGAGCAGCAGAAGTCAGTAGTAATCGTTATACGTTGTCAGAAATATATGTGGTGGTCAGCAGAAGCCAGCAGAAGCCAACGGAGGCCAGCGGAGGCCAGCAGCGGCAAGGAATGGCAAGCAGAGACCAGCTGGGGCAAGCAGTAACAAGTTGTAATCGTTATACGTTGTCAGAAGTATGAGGAGTGGTCAGCAGCGGCAAGCAGTGGCAAGCAGAGACCAGCAGGGGCAAGCTGTAACAAGTTGTAATCGTTATACGTTGTCAGAAATATAAGCAAGTCGTATGCCATTGATTTGAAGTCGGAGTTCAGATGTACAAGAGCAAGAAGGCAAACGAGCCTTTCTCTCTCGACTCCCACGAGGCGGTCCGAAATTACTTCGGACATTTTCGGAGAAACGAGAAAGAGGGCATGGGTCAGTTTGTCTTTGTCGACTTTCCGAAACTCCACGAGCTCACGTACGCGTGATCTGGCATGTGTGGGAGCACCTTCGGTGCATTTCTGGCACCTCTGGTTATATGGACGTTTGAAATGTGCAAGTCGATCGACGCTTTGCGAAATAACGAAGGAATTTGATATTAAAACTGTATAATGTGCTCAAATTATTTTGAGAAACTCGTAGTTCAAGCACGACAACTTGACGATGGTATCGAGAAATTAAGTGAAACATGGAAATTGCCGCACGTTTTGGTTGGACGTTTTACAGGTTCTACCGAAGAAGCAAATTCTCACATTGAAGCATTATGGAACGACATAAGAAAGACAGAGGTTCTTGATATGAATCGATTTATTGAATTTTATTAATTCGATTGTTGGCATGAAATATTTTTTAACGTTTTATCATATCAGGAAGGAATAGAAGAACTTTTGTCGAAGAGAAATGGATTCCAGTCACCCAATTCAGTATTTATGGAAGAATTTCTTCAAGAAACAAAGGAAACATACCAATCATTAAAAGAACAAAGTGATTTCCTAGAATCTGTTTTAGCAGAACATGGTTATCATTATGAAAACAATCCTTTAGACGAGTAAGCTTTTATTTTACTGCAATTTTACATAAAAGTATTTAATGGTCTACTAATGTTCTTGTTTTATATTCCATAGAAGTAATTTAAATAATGACATTTCTAATCAGTGCCTACTGGAAGAAACCAAACATTCAGAAGCTGCAGTTACTCCTAATTTTAATTCAAATTATGGAGTTAAGCAGAGACAACAAGAAACACCAGCATCTAATGGCAGTTATACACCATATTCAATTGCAACACACATGACTAACAGCTCAGCATTATTTTCAGGAGATACTTCTATCCATAGAGATAATTTGTACACCCCATTTAAAGAACGTCCACAGGAATCAGTTTATTCTACTCACTTTTACAACTTACTAAAAAAATGAATCTATAAATTACGTATTTTTCACCTTATTCTATGTAAGATCTGTATACATAGAGTTCTAAGTATTTTTGATACCTATTTTTGGACATTTACTGAATGTTTTTTAATACATAAGTATTTTGTATTTTTCTACAATCTTTAAATTAAGATGATCTTCAAGAGGCACATAGGAAACTATAAATTTGTAAGACATAAAGGAATACTGATGAAAAGATATATAAAAGTCATATTTTCCGAACAGGTCTCAAATTGTTTATATGCAAATTCATGATAAGCAAAAGGTTAAGCGATCTAGCGCGATGAATACAATTGTAGTATGAAAGTGGAGTAAACGAATATGAATATCTCGTAGTATCGAATTTTTAACAATCCTGCGTTATATGTAGAATATTGGAGAAGAATCGATTTATTATGCCACGCAAAAAGAACTAGCGGAAACTAGGGTAATTTCAGCCATCTTTATTTCTTAAAACAAAAATTACGTTGTCAGTATGACGCATCCACTTGTTAATGATGCAACTACTTAGTTAATGTTTACCGTGTCTATAACCTTGTACCAACGAGCGATATTTAAGCAAAGTTATTCAGTACTTATTAAATCTTATTAAATAGGGGAATGATTTTTTTAATTTCCATTTGGTTTTCGGTGATATTTAAATTCAACTAAGTGTCTAACCTCAAACTCTGAACATAAGGTAATATCAACCAAAATGGAAAGCTAATTCCAAGCTAAGTTTTAGCGTTGATCTCTATATAGAAATCAGTGATAGTATCTACCGATATAGAGATCAGTGATTAAAACTAAGTATCGATTACTATCGATATGATCGAGCTATCGTTGCAGCATTTGCCGTTAAGGGGGCCTTGTGTTCCACCCGCCATAGTTGTCTCGCTACTTATTTCAGAGTATTTGGTATCGCTAGTGAAGATACGTACAGTCCGGTTTATATTTTATATAAGACAAAGAAGATGCCGAGAAAACGTAAATTATCGAATATAAGGGAAAGATGTCGCATTTGTCTAGTTGACAATGGCTGCATGAGCAATCTGTTTAACGAAGTTCTGGAATCGAAATTGAACAATTTGACAAAATGCACTTCCATCAATGTATGTTTACATTCTCCTTAATTTACACACGAAGTTTTATAATTTTATCGTGTAACTACGTTATGTTTGCGTATAGATCAAAGACGAGCCTGGTTTACCAAACATCATATGCCATGTGTGTTTTTACAAGCTGGATATATGGAACGAATTTAAAGAACAATTCATACGGTCGAACCAAATGTTATTAAGTCAATTGGAACTTGCGGAAATTTCTGATAACGCGGTAAGAACTATTGCGTTTGCGTTTTTCATAATAATTTCACACAGCATTGCAAATACAATCATTTCTCTTTTTGCATCAGCATTCACAACTTAAAAGAGCTTACACTGATTTGCAACAAAGTGCAGAGGACAGCCTTTCCGACACTTCTGATAAGGTATTTATAATTAATACCTCACATTCTGTTCTTAGTAATATGTAAGTACATAAGAGTAGTTTTTTCAGAAGAAAGCAAAATCCGAGGTGCCACCATTAATACCTTTGGAGTTTGCAAGCGTAGATTGCGTAACGGACCAAGCAATGCTGAAGGAAATGTATGTTTCCGAAGATGATGTTACATCCTCTAAGGATTCTTCCCAGAGAGCTCAGGATGCCTCCAATGATGATAAATGTAAAAATGATGGAGACCATGAAACTAAAGATAACGTACAGCCGAAACCATCATTGGTCCCTATGAAGGTAAAACTGTTAACAGGTAGACGTAGTAGAACAACTGAACAGAGGAAAGCATCTACCAAAAGGTGGGTTGCAAGAAAGAAAGCCCTTCTAGCAGCAACAGGAGAAAGCGTATCGGATACAGACTCCATGGCATCTGATGATACTGAATTGTCACCGGTGCAGAAAGCACGAGCAAAGACTAACATGGATATAGAAGTCGAAAAACAGAAGAGAGTAGCCAGAGCATTAAAGCAGTTGGAGACTAATTTGACCGACAAATATTGTATCAAACGTAATAAAAGTGATTTCATATGCGTGGATACCGATTCCGATACACGAAGAACGAGATCACTGAAAGACATTAACTCCGATATTTCGTTGACGGACAAAAACACGTCTGTAAAAGACTCCACCGAGCAAGACGAAATGAGGAAGGATAAGTGTCCTCAAAATGATTCAAAAGCAAAAGAAAACACTTCTGTATCACTGCCAGAAAAAGCTAGCACAGAAAAATTGCCAAAAAAGAGCGAAACCAATATTGCCGAAGATATATTCACTCCGTGTTCCGTGAAATCGGAATTAGAAATCGGAGACGCTACGTATATCGTCACATCTACGTTAATGCTCGCGGAACCACATTATCTAAATAAAGCAAATTTACATAGTTTATCGAAAGAGTACAGGAACGATAATATCGAACAAAATTCGCAAGACAAAAATACCGATATCATCGATGCCGTACAACTTCGTAGAATAAATCCGATTCCAGCAGATTCTAACGAGAAGAAATATATCGAGAGATGTTTGAACATAGAGGTAGAAGGGACAGAGATAGACGCTTTGAAACGCGTGCAGGTTGAGCTCGCTGGATTTGTGGAGAAAGAAATGAAGCAAAGATTATTTGGGATAGCAAACGATGATGCAAAGAAAGATAAGACGGAAAATGGTTGCAAGAATTCGTACCAAACTTTGGACCAACAATTGAAGAATATAATAGAGAAAACAATAAAGAAAAATTTCGAGTCTTCCATGATGAGAAGCTGCGGTTCAGGGTTTAACTCGTACATTCAAAAATCGGGAACGGTTTCGCCTACGTTTGTAAAAGAGGCGGTGGATTCGAAAAAATATCAACCGAAAGTTGTTTTGAAACGTTTAGATATAACCAAAGAGAGCAAACAGCGAAATATTAATAATATGCACGTTGTAGCTAAGCGTACCGTTAAAAACAAACTTGGCGGACCGTTTAGCATGGTTTCCCATAAACGACAGAGCGTACCACCGATAAGATACAACGATTACAATACTTCTGCTTTGGATTCCGATTCTGACTTGTCGGACGAAATGGAGATGTCCGAAACATCGAAAACGGAAAGTAATCGCAATACAGTTACGGAAGAAGATAAGACCGTGTTGAAGCAAGTAGAAGTATTCAAAGATACTGTAATAATTTCTAAGGTGAACGAAGAGAAAACGGAGAATCAGGAAAATGTTTTTAACTCACCTCTCGATGAGAAGCACGTGTGCGGTGTATGCGAGCAGACATTCAGTAGTCGTAGCGAGGTTGTTGCACACGTTCGAATGCACAAAATAGAGTCATCCACCGTACCTCGGCACAACAAACATAAAATGATGCGATGTAAAAGATGCCACGAAATAGTCGAGGCTAGATTCGTAAAAGCTCACGTATGTAAATCCACGAAACAGCAGACTCACAAGTGCTACGTGTGCAACTCCACGTTCAGAACGGAGAAGCTTCTTGTCCGCCATTTGGAGAGTCACGATCAATCGGAATTTAACATAGAGAATATAACGAAAGCGGAATCACAAAAGTCAACCAACGCGAACATGTTAGAAAATTCCAAGGAGACGATGTACTTAAAATCCGAGGCTTCTCAACTCTTAAAAGTGGACAACTCCATGCCTACGAAATCAGATGATCCTAGAATCGAAATGAGCAACGTTCAAACGGAAAACGTAGGCATGAGCAAAGGGGTGAAAGAAAATGCGCAGACAATGGAGAGGCCAAAAGAGACATACACTTGTTTTGTATGTGACAAGATATTCACGGATGAAGAGATATTGAAAGATCATTTGCAAAAGCATTGCGACGATATCAGCGAGGATGATCAAAGCACTGGTAAAGAACAGTATCAGTGTGCAATTTGTGGCGACTCGTTAGATTCAGAGGATGCACTCGAGGCTCACGTTGAAAAGCATTTGTTCGACGAGGAAGATGACAATCCTAATCTTATTAATATTGGTAATGATAATGACAAATCTGACGAGGATCCGTATCACTGTTTACAGTGCGCGGAATCGTTTAATTCCGAAATGTTATTAGAGATGCACATGCAAGCTCACGAGGAAGAAGCCGCGATAGCAGAATGGGAGAAACAGGGAATAAAAGCTTACGAGTATCAATGTTCGATCTGCGACGACCTTTTCGAAACGGAAGCGGAATTGTCCGACCATTTGGACATACATAACGGTAACGCCCATGTTTGCCAGCTATGCGAAAAGCCATTTTTATGCCTGGAAGATTTACAACAGCATGTTGCAACCCACTGATTGCCTTCTCGTTCTTAAATGAGAAGCTTTATGTATATTAGCATAGTAAGGAAGGTACCCCTGTATATAATATTTCATAAACTTGTAACAATTTATCTGTTGAAGAAAAATTTAATACAAGACGATATTTGTTTCGTTATAATACCGTCTCATTTCGTTCGAAAGTCCTATAAAAATAAACGTTGAAGATATCTTATGAGAATAAATGTAATTAAAGGTATTTTTAATATCATAAGTACAAACTGTGCATAAGAGTTCATGCATCTATTGAAATGTTTAAAAACACAATTATTAAATATATATATATATATGTACACATAGATTGTATGTATTTCAGAATGCATTAGACTTCAATATTCTCAATATTAATAACATAGCTCTATATGCAGACAAAATTTACAATCGTTGGATATTAATATAAACAATAAATAATACGTGAAGCGTTTGTTGATTATAATTGCAGTAATACACTTTTGTAGCAATTTAGAAAGAAAAGAGTCCTTTGTAATATATACCGATAATGTAATCTCTCTTATATAAATGCATAGATGTGTGTGTATATAGTCATACTTAATAAAGCACAGTTTTATTTCTAATAAATATCCAACCGTTTCTACATAAATGAATTGCAGTTTTATTTTCAACAAATTACGAGATTGTAATATAAAGTCTACGCGATTGAAATAAACCGAATTAGAAATAGGACTGATTAAATAAACACTCGTGTATAAACTGTAAACGTATTTTGTTGATTGGAATTTAATATGTATATCAATGGGTATGCAAATATAATGTTTTTATACGGAATAGTGGTTGTACATAAATTTGTCCTTTTTAACAATTTTACATGCGATAATTCTCGTCAAAACGTGACCGAATATTCGATGTTCAATTTCACAAAATAAACAATGTACGAGTCCATTGTGCTATAATTTTTTTTTGCAAACTTAAAAACGTTTATGAAATTTATAAGTCGCACTAATTAATTATGTAATATTCCATACATATTCTACTTATTAAGTTATACATAATAAATTTTATACACAAACTAGTCTATTTAACATGATGGGATCGCGAGCACTCTTTACAGAAAATAATTTGGAGGACTAATGATGTAAACGATTACAAAAATCAGTCGCTGGCTGAATAGTAAATCTTATTATATTCTACTATATTTACATAAATACTGTATACAGTGACACGTTATTTACTTGTGGAGAATAACTAGTACTTTATCACTATACTGTATACCGTTAAAACATGACTGTAAATCGACTCTTCTAAGCGCTTCGTGAAATCAAAGTAAAATAAATAACAACTGGCTTCGTTAAAGCTGACACTAACTGCTTTTGAATTCACCTCATTATAATAGAAAACTATAAATGCTTCCCTTTTTGAATCATTTAAATCTACAGTTTTGGTTTCGTGATTGCTTTGCGACATTGTCGTTTACATTAATATAACAATGTGTCTACGCTAAAAATATTCTGAAAGCATATAATAGTACATCGATTCATGATGAAACGCACAACTCAACAAGTAATTTTATACCGTGAAAGCAGATATTTATCGCATTCGATACATTCTTGCGCTTTCGTTTCAATTTCTTAGGTCGTGTCACGTCTACTAGGAAAAAGAGTGATTATATGAAATACCTTCAAATATCCTGTACCTAATTTGATACAAAGTTTTGTTCATTAAAAAAAAAAAAATATTAAGATTTCATTCGTAATCGATAATCGAATATTGTTTCGATGCAAAAAGAAATTATGTACAAAACATACAACAATCAATCAAGCAAATTCTTCGTTATAACTATAATCAAAATTCAATTGTTTTTATATGTCAATAATTTATTGTTCTTTTCAATCGATAAAACAAAGTTTCGGACTATTCTGGGTCCCAAATTTATTTAGTACATTTAATGTACGCGGTTTCGAAGTATTTCATTTTTAAGCCGATGCACTTCAAACATCATAAAATCTTAACTTTGTTAAACGATTGCAACTTTACATACCATTATGTTCTTAGATCTATTATATACAACGATATCATTCAGACAGAGTAGGTTTTAATAGTATCATTTCAATAACAATAAATTAAATATATTTTCTCGTCGTGCTTGCTGAAATTTTTGTTGTAGCAACAATGGTAAATGAATTCGGAGAATGTATGATTGTACATCATCACGGGAATCTAAACTTAATATATTTGTGGTATATGCATTATCCATCTTATTGTCTATTATTAATTATATAGATGGATACAGAGAGAACGCTACCTACCTATAGAAAACCATTTTACCCGCGAGAGTAAAAGTTTCGTTTTGATGTGCCATCGCGATGAGCTCTATCAATTTCAGAAAATAAGAAAACCGAACGGGCGCACGAACAATTTTATATCTTCCCGACACTTACGCTATCATTAATCATTGAATTTATATTATTTATTCGTTACACCAAACTGTAATATTTATTGTATTATTTTTAGCGATCATAGCGTACCACGCGAAATCAATGATCTCTAATATAGTCTTGTGTAACTTACCTAACAACATTTACAAATTTTAATAAAAGCGCTATTTCATTGAGAAATAAACAATAAAATAAAAGTTTTCTTTTCTTCGTACACGTTACATGTTAAGTAACTAACATTGTTCATGAAATTTGGCTTCACATTGTGATTTACTGTGACACGAGGTCTACATAGTTTGCAGGATAGAGACCTACCCTGCCATCTTTTCTTCCTTTACACCATCCCTGCTCATCTTCGTCCTCCAATTTCTCAAAAACATCACCTGTAACGATCCAAGAATTATAAAAATTAAATTCTAAATACTTTTATCATACGTGTAAGATGATTGAATCTTTATGTACCTTGTTTAAAGCTAAGTTCGTCTGCTTCTGCTCCCTCATAATCGTACAACGCCCGCACAGGAACGCCAGGTTCTCCATTGTCCACTAATGGTTCGCCGCCATCTTCGTCCCATTCCTCTTCTTCGAAAGGATTTGATTCTTGTTTAACATTCGTACCATTACTGAAACAAAAAAACATGTATATTAGATTAAAAACAAGGCATATATATTATACATATTATAAAATAATTTTTCCAGATCGATTTGAAATTTTTTTTACCCCTCGAAAAATTTCACATTTTCTCGAATTTTTTTCTAGAAAATGGGTAGGAATTCAGGGGTATGTCTATTGACCAAAAACGATTGTAATTGACCCCTGTAAGCAAAAATAATTTTTTCAGAACGATTTGAAATTTTTTAATTTTGACGAAAAATTTCACATCTTCTCGAATTTTTTTCTAGAAAACGGGTAGGATTTCGTGGGTATGTCTATTCACCGAAAATGATTATAATTGACCCTCACAAATAAAAATAATTTTTCTACAACGATTTGAAATTTTTTTTTCTTCGAAAAATTTCACACCTTCTGGAATTTTTTTCTAGAAAACGGGTAGGATTTCGTGGGTATGTCTATTCACCGAAAATGATTATAATTGACCCTCACAAATAAAAATAATTTTTCTAGAACGATTTGAAATTTTTTTTTTCTTCGAAAAATTTCACACCTTCTGGAATTTTTTGCTAGAAAACGGGTAGGATTTTGGGTCTATGTCTATTCACCAAAAGTGATTGTAATTGACCCCCATAACTGAATATAATTTTTCTAGAACGATTTGAAATTTTTTTTTTCTTCCAAAAATTTCAACCCTTCTCGAATTTTTTTCTAGAAAATGGGAATAGAAAATGCATTACTTACGTAATTGTAGAGGTTCTGTTCACCGCATTGCCATCGTGATTATTTTTCTCTGAGGAGTGTTTGCTGGAACTAATCGTATCAGTTTTGCTATCACCATGACTTCCGTCTGTTGATATTACTCGAGGGCTGGGTTTTGATTTTGATTTATTGTTGACTGTTGGGAATTCCTAAATCGATAGGAGATGATAGAAACTGATTACCCATATTAATAATGATAATTCATTATATAATTAAGTGCAAGTTCATTTGTGAAGTTTCAACTTGTATGCTTGTACATATTTATAATCTTAAGCAATTTTTAAATAGAGTGTATATAAATATTTTAAATCATGCGTGCAACCAAAGTATAAACGATACATTGAATTTTCATTTACATTTGTATGTTAATAATTGAATTAAATATTACAAATTTTTGGTGAAACTGAATCGCATTCGTTTGTTACTTTCGAAGATGAAGATTGGTGCGATGACGTTATGCTATTTGTTATTAATTAATTAAATTCGACGTGTGAACAAAAATATACAATTAATATGAATCAGAATTAAGCTGCATTCATTGGTGCCTGTTAATACTACTTTTCAAAAGCATCTTTGCAATTGCGATGATCGAGAAAAATTACCATGTATCATGCGATTACAAACTCCGGGCGATTTTCCCACCAAATATACTTGAAAGGAATTTTTATAATGGATCGATGAAGAGGTCAATAACACTGTTGCTTCATCGATTAGTCAACAATTACAACTATTGCAATAAAAACGACTTTTTTTATAAGAGAGAAATAAAATCGACCCAGGCCATTTCATCGAGCATGATCGTAAATATGTATATGGGACTACCCTACATTCTTTTCGAGTATATGGATGGCACAAGAATATAAGAAATTAACTGTGTTGTAAATGATTTTAATTGGTTGCAAGCATGTTTGATTTATGTTTAGGTTTAATTTCGCGTGACAATATATAACAATGTATCAAATGACAACGATGTATGATATTAACAGCTGGGATCGTAAATAAAGAGCGAATTTACGTTCAAATTTTTAAAAAATTTCATGTTTTTGAAGCATAGCATTTCATATTGAGAAGCAACAAGATTCCTTGTTAACAAAAATATTACTATCCATAAAGAAATCTTCATAATATAGTAGATTTCTATTTCTTCGTGCTCTGGAGACGCAAATCTGGCAAGGACTATCAAACCCCATTCTATGTGCAAGATGTTAATGATACAAAAGAATGTTTCAAGAAGTATATTACACAATGTAATATGTCTTTTTTATGAGAGACATTTTGGGTACTTGGAAAGTTGTCACTATTCCTTCATATCAGTTGCACAAGCAACTCTAGCTGTCTCTAAGGATTATCGAACGTTTCCAGAGATTATAGATTGATCAAGATGGCGGCAGTGTGGCAAATTCGCTCTTATTTTTGAAACATGCTCGGTGTATTCGTGATATAGATCTGAGATTACGTGCAAGACCAAGCACATAGCGGGTTACGGTTAATTCAGTTAAGTTAGCGAGCGAGAAGCTGCAAAAGGAAACCCATCCTCAGTGACCTCGTCGTGTCTGCCGTTACGGCACTATTTCGTGCCACTTGCGACGGTAAAAAATGCTCGCGTTATCGCCGGGGTACGCGTCTGTACAAACTCGATGGACGGAGCCAATGAACGAAATTGATGGTAAAACATAACAAAACTTTACATGCAGATCCTCGCCGACCGGGCGTTGATTGATGAGCGTGATGGAGCCGGCCGGAAGCGCCTCCTTGGACTTGGAGCCCTTGGTGATGTCACGGAACTCCTCTGTGTAGTCCTGCATAATAGCAACGCCCAAAAAACAATCACATGCATGCATTCCAGAAAATTGTCTCGGGATACTATTAAAAGCTTTGAGAAAAAAAAAAAAAGAAAGAAAAATAAAAAGGAACATAGGATCATTACCATAACGTTGCACATTAATTGTCTTTCCAAGGGGTTTAACCCTTCAGAAATATGTATATGTGCTTTGACCTACGTATTAACGTAATCTGAATCGCGACGGGTTTCTCGAGGGAATTTCAAGATAAATGGTCGTCGACGAATTTTTTGATCGGAAGGAGAAATCATAGTTAGCGCAGAACCCCTAAGAATCGCATATATCTCTCATACATTTCGGTCTCGAATACATAGCGTAGCTTTACTTTGAGAAATCGTAGAACATCGAGACGAACAGAATTAATTAACGAATAAAATTAATACAGTTATAAAAAAAAGGAAAGAACGAGAATAATATTCAATGCACTCTACGGCTATGTTTTCTAACATCAGATTTCCAACCATGAGCAGGGGCTTTCATGCGATGAAGAAGAGTCGTTGCAATGCGTACGTTTATGTTCGAATATCTCACCTCGAATTGCGGCCAATTCATAGCCATGTTCACACCGTGGTTGTTCGACCACCATTTTAGGTCCTTTTCGTGGTCCGCGTTGTTAATCGTGTGGTAGAATTCTTCGTATATTTGTGGAAGTCTAAAATATTAAAATACGAGAATCTAAAGATTATTTATAATCTCAATTTCATTTTGATTCTGCTTGAAACATTAATGTGTTTTCGGATTTTGAAATATAAAAGTTTATCAATTTCTCTACGATATTTATGCCATTTTAATTGTTTTCATCTTTGTAGCTAACTTGTTATTCATTTTAAACAGACTGATATTCCAAAAATGCTGTGCTTCAACATTTTCCCAGGATTCCCATTTAGTTGCATTAAAAATATTTAAAATAAAAGTATAATTACATTGGATCTTGAGAGATATTAAGGCATTTGTGAATGCCAAAGAGGACCTCTTTGAAGAACTGAAGCCGCTGCGCCTCCATTTCTTGACACTTCTCGAACACCTGAGTCATGTCCTCCATGTATTTAGGGTTGTACTGATTGATTTCTTGCAGCGTGGCCTCGTACTTCTCCTTCGCCTTTTGGACCTCCTCCTTTGTCTTTTGCACCCTGTCTTGCATCTTCTTCACCTGTCGAATTAAATAAAAGATCGCGAATGAGCGACCTTTTAGCGAGTGGTTTGCAGTGGCGAACTATGGGCATCGAAGGTAAAGATCTTGGTTCTAACTCACACTGGTAGTCTACCTCATGGTAGACAGAAACTACAACCCCTGGCAAAAAGTTCTCCATCAAAAGTTACAAAAGTTACTCGCGTATTGCAAATGGAAAACACTGTTTTGCTGCAATTTGTTCGAACAAACAGAACCTTGCTTCTTGCCAGTCAAACATTATATTGTATTCTGATTAATTATTCCAACTCTTTACCCTCAAGTTTACCTAGCGTACAACTGTGGTGGCAAAGAATACCTTTGAAGAAAGTAAGCGTGATCTTAATATATCAATTAACTGACGCGTGCAACAAAGCTATAGTAAAGTACAAAGACTTGTTTGATGCGTTTGTGAAAGTAATAATTGTGTGAGAGGGTGTCCCTTTATGCAGTGAACTGAAAGATTCTGATTCCTCGAAACAAAACAAATCGAAAAGAATATTTGCGTATTTAACACGATCTTATACTGTATTAGAGATAGATTAAAAACAAATTGTACCATGTTTGGTCTTATTTTGATCGGAAAACCCTCACAAATACATTGGTAAAAGTTTTGTTGAGAATAGTCGTGTTTCATAAATTATGAAATACAATGTAAAGCAGTATGCGCGGGAGACGAGTGCGCATACAGCTCGGGAGACTGAAGCACGATATAAGTTACTTCGAGGATTTATATTATATTTAATTATCCATGAATTTTGACAAGTTTCGTTAAAAAAGTTATTTAGATATACGAAAGAGATTGTCAAATTTTTATTTGCAACCTTTTATTCTTGCGAGTGTGAGGGGAGTTCCTGAAATTTCGTGATTACACTTACATGGGACACCCCTGCACGATTGTCATTCAAAATCCAAGTTCCTTGTACTTCGTTATTTATTAACTAGTTTCGCGAAACATGGACTTTTCGTAGATAAATTCTCAGGGCGATTCGTAAATGCATGTCAATACTTCTGAGGATGGATCTACATACTGAAACACGTAACACATGTTTTATGAACAAAAATCGAGTACATCGCATTACAAATGTTAAAGATTTCGAGGACAGCTCTTGATAGCTACATGCATCCTATCGAACAAAATACTTTTTCATCCTTTTATTTAAGATGAACAGGACTGTTTATACAGTGTGTTTTTAAGATTTTCAATGGATTCAAACTGAATGAAAACTTTCGAAGAAATTATTAATATTAAGACGATTAAGTTTACAAGGAGACCATTTAAGTGTAGGTATTGCGAGACAAAAGTGGGATGAGAACTATAGTATTTAACAACATATGCTCAAACAACAGTTTTTAACGGGTGAATACACCCTCTGAAGTATTGACATCCATTTATGGACCATCCTGTATATAAGAAAAGTACGTGATGTACCATAAAGCTGTTCGAGAATGCCCCTGAACGGAAGGTGAGTCTCGTCAGAATTTTGTTTGCCCCCCCCCCCACGTAATTATTAAGCATTAAAAAGCCATGCCATCATTGTTTCGAATACTATCTTGTCCCGTGCACGGTAATTACCAACAATAGTGTTATGTCTTGCCTCGTGACGTACCTCGAGGGCATTCGTTACAGCTCGTTATGATAATACACCTATCGATACGTGCAGAAATGGTCAAAGAGTGTACGGCGGGATCGAAACAAGTCCACGTAACGAATTGTACGAGATAAAAATTGTATAGTTCGATTTTTCGAGAAGAAGTGTTCGTGCATGTCGATCTGTGGTCGAGATCGCTGATCTGGTTAAGCGGTGCAACTAGCGAAGTAATCGAAGCGTATCGGCTCGCAAAGCGTTTACAATTCACGAATATACAATCCAATATTTCCTACATTTATATTTATATATTATAAATTGTTCTATTTGTTTATAAGAGCAAATAACGAGCAATCCACCGAGCTGTACTAATATCTGAATATTATGCGTCGATAGAAGTTTCATTTTAATGAAAAACATACACGAAATCAACTTAACAAATAACGATATCAGAGCCCCTACTTAAAAATAATCATTTTTGAAGATACGACTGCAATTCGAAACAAAACCGATTTTAATCATTTTTAAATGGAAACTTTTTGAGATTCTCTCTTTTTCACGAAATTTAGAGTCATTCATTCTGGTATAAAAATAATATGAATATTCATTATTTCTGTTCACCCCAAAATTTCCTGTATTTTCTTTAGATCCCCTAATTGTTTATATGTACAGAAGCTCGATGGTTGCTCCGTGTAATTATTGTCGTACAAGACAGCAAGATATAGAGGATTTGCTTACCAGCAGAGCTTTCTGTAACGAAAAAAACGAGAGAATGTTAATTAACATACATGCCGCATGCAATATCGTTATACATACAAGCTGAACGTCTCCTATTTTAGAATTCCTAAAGGATTTTCGTATTCTGAGGGCCCATGCACCACATCCACATACTGTCATCTAAAAACGTCGGTAGCCTTTTTTCAGAAGATCGCCTCTCGCCGGGCGATTATTCATTTTTTTTTTTCCAAAAAAGCGACACGTGCAATAATGTCGAGAAATAGTCTCTATTTTGCGATTAAAATGCGTGAGACGTATAGCGATTACACAGTGCGATAAACTAATTTCTAGGAATAATGATCGATACACTTTCTCTGCGACGAGATACTCCGATGGAAAAGTTTCAGACTCGAAAGACGCAGTTCTTGCATTACATCGTATTATAATCGATACAAAACATGTGTTACTTATCTACCAAGCATGTAATTTGTTATAATCAGTCACGTGTTATCGAAAATATGAAAAGATTGGTACAAAATACCGATCGTAAATATTAGAAAGATTGCTCGTAGTAATTGCGGGGGACTCTGTGATGTTACCTCACCCCCCCTCGCCCTACGGGCCCCTAGAAAACCCTTTCTTTCGTAGTAACATTATTTAGATTTGTCTCATATTACTATTATATCTTTTAATTGTAATCTTAACGCTTTCGATTCACTTCCATGAACTCTGATACGCCTTAGCGGGAAATAACGTGATAGAAACGAGATCACCGGCCACTGGCCGCCATGATGTCACCCGTGAAGATTTTATTTGAGAAGATCAACAAATAAAAATTAAGTATTTTTACCTTTTCGAACATCTAAAATCGTTCACACATTTACGAGCGGTACTGCAATTCGCAATCAGTAAAAATCAAGCAAGAAACGTAACATTTATTTTCAATTTCACGACCGTACTGTGCAGAGATAAACTCGTTCGGACGTTCACGAAGATCTAGAAGCGCTCCGTGATACGAGAAGATTAGATATACGTTCGTAAATGTCGAGAACAACAACAACAAGGCATGCAAATTTTGGTAAGATACCACGAGATTTGTTAACATACGTTTTCTGAGCCTCGGGCCATCTGTAAATAATACTGACTAAAGAACAACTGTATCTACTGTACGCCGAGCCGCGATTGTGTGATCGAGACACGTATGTACGCATGATATCGTTATATGCAATTGTGTGTGCACGTTCTGTCGAGAATACCATGGCTCACAAAAGAATCTGGTCATGGTGTACTCTTTGCAAACGTATATTTCCATTTTATATAAAAGAAACTGAACAATGTTACATTTCAATTTCTATACGTTCTGTCGGCAACAGTACACTGCTCGAAACTATTAAATCTTGCATCTGGATCACTTAGGGCGACAAATTCATTGTCAGAGATTACGATTCTAATTTATTTACTAGCTAATGTGCAAGCTGCATTCACTGGTTTCAAATGATTCGTTTCAATTATGTTCTATATTTCTCTGAATAGCAGAAGAACAATTTTAACCCCTTAAGGGATGATAGTATTTGTTTTCTTTCAAATTATACGTTAGATGCAACATTGTAATTAACGAAAACAAATTACAAACATTTTAGAAACAAATCCAATAAAGAAAACTGATCATTGTTGGTTAACCCGAAAAATATGAGCGTTAAGGGGTTAATGGGAGATTCTGGAGGCCAAAATAAGACGAAAATGAAGAATACAAAGTTGCTAGAGGCTTCGTTAGAAAGTCCAAGCTGATTCGTGTCTTATTAAATAAAAAATTCAATTATTTCGAGCAGAGTACGATTTGTGTTATCGAAATCTGTTTGATCGGAAGCATCGACGCTTCGAGAAACGTTTTAAAAGCGAACGTGACTGTGACTTGTGACTTAGATAAGTAGGTAACGTAACGATTGCGCTGTTCGTCGATAATGAATGAGCAACGGATGGTGTAACTTTTCATTACTGTAATCGACATAGAGAACGAGGAACAAGAGAGGTTTACTGTTGTTTTACCTGGTCTGGCGAAAGTGAACTGTCAGCCGATGCGTTCCTCTCCATGTTCGCGGCGGTTCGCTCCGTTTTACAGCTATTGTGATACTCTGACTTGGCTTTCTCGACCTTTTGTAAAAGCTTCACCCACGGTTTTTGCGCTTTCTTAAAAGCGTCCTCCATCTCCTTACGCTCTTTCAGCGTCATCATCGACTGCAACGAACCCACACTCTCGTTAAGATCAATAAATTTCTACAAGCAATTTAATATCGAATCTCTATATCGAATTTCATAACTTTTTAAATGTCTCAAGTTCTTCTATAAAACGTGAATATCATCTAGACTAAATAAGAAGCTGCCCCAAAAATTTTATTTCATTAAATGGGGCCTTTTATTGCAGAAAAATGGTGTGTATCAATTTGTGGTGAAGTCCAAGGTAATATTGAGAATATACTATCTATCGAGCAATAGACACACCTTGTGATAGGTGTCTTTTTGCCACGTTTTCACTTGCTGAATGATGTCGTTGCAGAGATTTTCTTTGACCCTGAGATGAAGATCGCATAGCCTGTCGGACTCGACGAGGACGCCTTTCCACGCTGCCTCGGTGGTTCCATATTCGGGGCCCTTCTCGATCTTGTCGTTCCAATTCTTCGACCAATTTTTCAACGCTTTCGCATAGCTCTTTTCGATCTCCGCCCTCTCTTGGACCAGAGCTATCAAGCTGTCGCAGAGCTTGTGTCCGTCTTCGATCCTCTTGGTCGTTCGTTTGTAGTTGCCCGGCTCCCAGAAGGAGTCTGATGTTGCTATGAGCATGTTATCGTCGCTGTGATGTGACATCCTAGCCTAAGTCGAGAAATTCCTTTCACCTGGAACCAGAGATACGAACCGTGAGAGGTGGGATTAAATTTACAAGGTTAATTTAACCCACTAAACTGCAAAATTCTTCATAATTCTTTATTTAAAAAGTTCCCATTCAGAGATCAATACACCCAGAAATGCTGACAAAGAGAATTTTACCAAGTTATTATAGCGACGATAAAATTAGTTTTATTCGTCAGACTTTGCTTATTCAGCTACACGAGCCGTCGGATTGGATTTATATCTTATCATTAGTTATGTCACAGCAATTGCTGAGCCTACGCAACAACTGTGAATCATCTTCGTGGCAGATATTAAAAGTACTACACTACTTTCTCCGACCAAATGTGTTCATATCAAACATTATTTTGCACCAACTTTAGTAATAGTATGCATTTGTAAAATCAATTGCAGGCGAGATATGGAACATAGCCATTTTCTCAGCGCCACCCACCACCCCTTCTCTTGGCACTGTTACGTAGCTTATATTTTAAGTTGAACTACTCCATGGATACGTTCCAGTTTCGTCGTGATTCCTCCAGCAGTTTTCACATGAAGCGGTAATAAACGATAGCTACAATTGACTTATATTTATGCGGGGTAATTCTAGAAACTGAACCAGACTATGGATCGATCGTGAGCAAGGATAGGGTAAATCTTACTCTACGATATTCAGTAGATAGATCATTTTTAGGGTGTCTTATAATTTCGTTCACCAGTATATGTTTCATTCTACTATAAATTTATTAGCTTTTGATCGAAACGTGGTAAATAACATCTTTATACCTTTCTGCAATTACTTATTCTCATGGTGGGTGGTCAATGATAACGATAGCGACGATCCAGTTACCTCCTGCGACGAATCTGATGATTTAACGATCACTTTATGATGACATTGTAGGCATAATCGTCAGAGTGTCCCTAATTGCCTGGTAGGTTAGCCCAGTTAGGCGTTTCTAATACGCGAAAGGAAATATAGGTTCACACTGTCCAGCACACGTTTCTTACTATCCACAGTTGTATTTTATATTCAATTTTTTTAAACTCCATTAAAATCGAAAGATTCAAAAAACAGTGTTTCATATCCACGAGTTGACGATTCTTTTCAAGTAATTTCTTTACATAATATGTGATGAATCCACCCTGTATAAGCGTCAATGATTAAATTCGAAGGACCCCAACAAAACAAAATCACAAAACGTCTAAAAAGAAGACTTGTTATTCGAGTTTACGATAAATATAGGCGTATATCGCCGGAGCTGTGTTTCTGGAGCAAAGTTTGGGGCAGAATTTGTATGGAAGATGCACGACGGACTGTTACGTGCAAGTATTATCGAGAGTCTGCCAAGAAATGTCCAAGTCGAAAGCTTCAGAGAAAGTAGAGAGGAATTAAATCCAGGGACGAGAATCACTGTCCCGTGAATTATTGTAGACTCCTCCCAGTATGGAAGAAACGCAAATGGAATTTGTTTTCTTGCCTCTCTCGCTAAGTGATCCAGTCTAAAGATCCTAGCACTTTCATTATAATTTACTTTATAAAACAGAGAACAAATTTAATTATAATATCATATCCATATTTCAGGAATACAATTTGAAACACTTTGAACCATTTAATTAAAAAACAAAACTCCATATTTTTATTAGATTCTAAGAAAAGAGCTCGTTTTTTACTTTTCTAATTTTCGTCTTCTACTGTTATTTATAGAAATAATGATAGAAACTTGTTTTGCAGTATTTCAACGACCAGTGATACAAAATGATATACAGGGTGTTCGGCCACCTCTAGCAAAAATTTTAATGAGCGATAGTAGAGGCCAAAATAAGACGAAAATCAAGAATACTAATTTGTTGGTGGAAGCTTCGTTAAAAAGTTATTAACGTTTAAAGTGCCGCCCTTACTTAATTTTTTTCTCGAAAATGCACAAGATTTCGGGGGTATGTCTATTCACCAAAAATGACTGTAATTGAACCCTACAACCGAAAATAATTTTTCCACAACGATTTGCAATTTTTTAATTTTCTCGAATAATTTCACACCTTCTCTATTTTTTTTCTCGAAAGTGGGCAGGATTTCGTGGGTATGTCTAATGACAAAAACTGATTGTAATTGACCCCCGCAACCGAAAATAATTTTTCCAGAACGATTTGAAATTTTTGAATTTATTTGTTAATAACTTTTTAACGAAGCTTCCATCAACAAATTAGTATTCTTGATTTTCGTCTTATTTTGGCCTCTACTATCGCTCATTAAAATTTTTGCTAGAGGTGGCCGAACACCCTGTATATCATGGTTTAAGACAAATAATTAGAATACGATTAGATTAAAGCATTTTCGTCTACGTTTGGTCTCCCGTATCGATGTCAACAAATTACAAAATTGACACTGCCAAAGTCCAATGGTTCGTTAACACGCTGTAATCAAAGACGCTCGTACTGCAAGCGCAGCTCTTCCATTGAAACAAAGCAGCCGTTAATGGGGCCACATTGTGTCGATATTCCAAGGGTCAAATGCACAATTGCACTGTTATAACGGTTATGTCAACAGCCACTGGACGTATCTAAATAGCATCCGTCATTCTTTCTCATTCGTAGATCCGTGCGTTGAATTAATGAAGAACGCATGGGAATGGAGCTTGTTGCCTCATCGTAGGATGCGTGGGACAGTTAATTAATTTCCAGAGCAACGTTAAACGCGAAATCAATGGATCCTGTGTCGTTTCGATATTTATGATTCGCCCAGGTGAAAACTATTCGCTTCGCGAACTTTGCTATCTGATTGTGGAAACGCAGCGATTAATTTTGTTGGACAGGTAAACACGAATTACGTTTCCAGGCAATTAACGCGAAATTTTGCCAGTTGCATCTTCGATGGACGTACGAAAAGTTCAAGGCCAGATGTTCTTCGTTTTTGTTTGGTGACCGAATGAATCGGTAGCTGCGACAGCCAGAGACTTATAGAAGCTGAGAATCCCTTTGAGATTGTTCGAGTGCTTTAATTATCGGGTTGTAACAGTAATTGCGCGACCTTTGCTGGAGGAAAAACGAGGGAAATGGGCAAAAAGGAAGGAAAAAAGGAATATGAAGAGGGATAAGGGAGAAGGGGAAGAACAAGCGTGGGCTGAGGAATGCTGCCAGGCCAGCCGAGGGCCTTTAATGCTCATCGCGGAGGGGAAGGTCGGATCAAGGTTCCCGTGGAGTTCAATTTTCGGCGTCGAGTGGAACAGGTGAACGAAATGGTTTCCTGTTTCACCTTTCACGTTCGCAGTCACGCTGCTGCCGGAGATGGAACCAGACGGCGCTGCACCGTCTAGGTGAATCCTTTCAGTGCTCGCGAGGGACCACGGAGGAATGAGTACGGTCATTCCGAACGGTGGAATGTTGCCCTACCAGCTCGATAAGCACGGTACACGCCAGAGATCTTCCAGGCGCCACGACTTGCGCTGATTAGTCGATTCTAGCGTTATTACTACCGAAGAAGTTATTTGCAAGTTAAGAAGAACCTATTATAGCTCTCATGGACGACCACGGGCTCAAGGATAACCGAACGTCTAAGGATTGCTACACAGCCGTGCCAGAACACGGAGCCCCGCGACTGTTCGTTCTGTTTCTGGAAAACGAGTTGCTCGGTACTTTTTCCACAGCGTTTAGAATTACGATGGGAGGTACTGGACGCGAAAATAAGACGAAAATTAAGAATATCAATTTATTGATTGAGGCTTCGTCGAAAAGTTATTTAAAAATTAAATTAAAAAATTTGAAGCCATTCTGAAAAAATTATTTTCGATTGGAGGGGTCGATTATAATCATTTTTGGTGAATAGACATACCCTCGAAATCCTAACCAGTTTCGAGACAAAAATTCGAGAAGGAGTGAAAATTTCGGCGAAAAAAAGAAATTTCCAATCGTTCTAAAAAAATTATTTTCTGTTACGAGACTAAATTACAATCATTTTTGTTGAATAGACATATCATCGAAATCCTAACCAGTTTCGAGAAAAAAATTCGAGAAGGAGTGAAAATTTCGGCGAAAAAAAAAAATTTTCAAATCGTTGTAAAAAAATTATTTTCGGCTGCAGGGGTCCATTATGAACATTTTTGGTCATTACCTATACCCCCGAAATCCTACGCAATTTTGAGAAAAAAATTCCTTAGCGAAAATATGATATCTGACCTAGAAATGACCCCCCGAAATTTCTTGCGAATCTTTAAAATGCCATAACTTCTGAACGGATTGGAGGATTTTGATGTTTAAAAAAGCAAACGACGCGTATTTGAGAGAAGAATATGTAGAAATGACAAAAATATTCGAAAAGTTGTTTCTTCACCCCATAAAATAAGGAAAATCCCATAAAAATGGTCGAATTTTCAAACAGCTATAATTCCTACAATAGGGAATATATTTCAATGAAACTTTTTTCTGAAGTAGAGCTCATAGGTAGCTACCAAAAACTATTAGACAACTTTTCTGTACGACGCCGAACAAAACTATTAAAAATAAAAAACGAAGTTTCAAGAAAAATCTGCAGGGGTAGTGCCTCAATTACTCGGCGAAAAAAAAAATGTTTCCAATCGTTTCAAAAAAATTATTTTCTATTGCGGGACTAAATTACAATCATTTTTGGTGAATAGACATACCATCGAAATCCTAACCATTTTCTAGAAAAAAATTCGAGAAGGAGTGAAATTTTTCGAAGAAAAAAAAAATTTTCAATCGTTCTGGAAAAATTATTTACGATTGAAGGGGTTAATTGCAATCATTTTTGTTGAATAGACATACCCTCGAAATCCTAACCATATTCGAGAAAAAAAATCGAGAAAGAGTGAAAGTTTTCAGCAAAAAAAAAAAAATTTCCAATCGTTCTGAAAAAATTATTTTCGATTGGAGGGGTCGATTACAATCATTTTTGGTGAATAGACATACCCTCGAATTCCTAACCATTTCCGAGAAAAAAAATCGTGTAGATGGACAAATTTTTCGTTGGAATTAGAAAATTTCAAATCATTGTAAA